TATGATAGATTAACCTGAATTATTTTATAGCAGCAACCAACGATTTATACATGAAAATCAGGAAGATTAACAAACTCTCTGTAAGTTTTAGGGATGCACAGATACCGATACTGGTATCGATATCGGGCCGATACCAGTATCGGTAAAAGTTAACCGATACCAGTGCAGTTGCCTGAAAGTGGCTTCATTGTAACTTGTCATTTCTGTTCACCTATATTTTAGTGTTGTGATATTTTCTATTAATATATTTTATTTTTAATCTACCTCACAGTCTTTTCCTGTTGAAAGCAGAGAAGAAAATAAAACATGTATTCTAATTCAATGCATTTTTTTGTGCGGTAGAAGTATTGGTAATTTGGTATCGGTAATCGGTATTGGCGAGTACTCAGATCCAAGTGTCGGTATCGTATCAAGTCCCTAGTAATTTCACATGTTGCTGATGGAACAAACTTGTGACCTCTACATAAAAAAACTAAAACTTGCTAAATGTTTGTGTGAAAAGCAAAAGTCCAGTCTTCAACAACAAAGGTACACTCATTGATTCTGTCACACCCTGTCCTGTCTTCTCCTAGGTTGTAGTCTGTGTCTCCGTTAATTGCTCCCACCTGCCTCTTGTTTCCCAATCACCATAGCTCCCGTTCCTCATGTATTTAAACCCCTGCTGTTCTGTGTTCCTTGTGGTGTCATTGTTTCATTGTCCAGCGTGCTTAATAAACCCTTGTTAATCGTTCCTACCTGCCTGCCTGTTTCCTCCCCGGTCTGGATCCACGCCTTTCCTCCGCTCCACTCCGCAGCACGTCGTGACAGAATGACACCACCAGAACCCGTTGATGGATCCAGCCGGGAGATTCTGCCCTGGGAGAACCTGCTCCAGTGGCTCACGTCCGACCACCGGCCAGCTTCTCCATCTCCTTCTGCCCCAGCTCCGCCTCGCCGCCGGCGGCGTCGCAGACCTTCGGCCGCAGCGTTCCTCCCTGTCCTCCCGGAACCGGAGGCATGTTTGGACCGGGAGCCGCTGCCAGATCGCTCCAGCTATGAGGGCACGAGGCTGGCGATCTGTTCCCCTGGAGTCGGTCCACGGCGTGGGGAGAGACGCCGGAAGCCACCGCAGCCCAGCGCTTCTGGATGGAGCTTCGAGCCCGCCGCTGGCCGTGCCCGGCGCGGCAGTTCGGACACGCCCCCGGCCAGACCACCAGTCCCGTCTCCTGCCGAACCGGAGCCTCCGTCGGTTGCAGAGGAAGGAGCAGCAATCGCGGCCCGGCTGATGGAGCAACGGGCGGAGCTCGGCCGGTTCCGCGAGCTCCTCAGCCGCAAGGAGTCTCACCTGGACGCCCTATCCTCCTCGTCCCAGGGCCAGAGGAGCGAGCGCGGGGTTCCACCAGCGGAGCTCGCCGGTCAGCGGGCTGAGCTGGCCCAGCTCCGTTGGACGCTCAGCCTCAGGGAGCTACAGCTGGACGAGCTGACCTCCCACCTCTCCTCAACGCTCCAAGCCCTCCTAGCAGCGGCTCTGCCACCGGCCCAAAAGCAGACGGAGCGGGCCCAGAGACGGAGGGTACCGACCCGGAAGCAGATGGAGCCAGATCCGGTCCAAAACTCGACGGTCCAGAAGTCGAGGGACCAGAAGCCGATACCTCCGGGCCAGACGCAGACGGTTCCGGTTCCGGTCCAGAGGTCGACGGTCCGAAAACCGAAGGACCAGAAGTCGACACCCCCGGACCCGAAGCCGACGCCCCTGGACCTGAAGTCGATGGAAGTCGAGGCCCGTTCCTGTCCTGAAGTCGACGCCGGTTCCTGTCCTGAAGTCGACGCCCGTTCCTGTCCTGAAGTCGACGCCCGTTCCTGTCCTGAAGTCGTCCCCTCTGATGACGTCCCCTCTGATGACGTCGCCGCCACCTCTGAAGTCGGCTCGTCTGATGACGTCGCCGCCACCTCTGAAGTCGGCTCGTCTGATGACGTCGCCGCCACCTCTGAAGTCGGCTCGTCTGATGACGTCGCTGCCTCCCAAGTCGGCTCGTCCGACGACGTCGCCTCCCAAGTCGGCTCGTCTGACGACGTCGCCTCGTCCTCTGAGGTCGGCTCGTCTGACGACGTCGCCTCGTCCTCTGAGGTCGGCTCGTCTGACGACGTCGCCTCGTTCGACGACTTCGCCTCTGCCTCTGAAGTCGCCTCGTCTGGGGATGCTCTCTGCACTCAAGAGGTCGATGCTCCGTCCAGTCTGGCGTCTCCACGGTCTCCGGTGCTGATGGTGGTTTTGAGGGCCGCTCCGGCCCAGCCTGCAGAGACTTTGTCGCCGGCCCAGCCTGCAGAGACTTTGTCGCCGGCCCAGCCTGCAGGGACTTTGTCGCCGGCCCAGCCTGCAGAGCTCCTCTATCATAGATGCAGGTCCTCAAGAGTCCATCCTCGTCTCCTCCTCTGCCGCAGGCGCCGGCCTCCGAGGGCCCGTCGCCTCCTCATCTGCCGCAGGCGCCGACCTCCGAGAGCCCGTCGCCTCCTCATCTGCCGCAGACGCCGGCCTCCAAGGGCCCGTCGCCTCCTCATCTGCCGCAGGCGCCGGCCTCCAAGAGCCCGTTGCCTCCTCGTCTGCCGCAGGCGCCGGCCTCCACGGGCCTGTCGCCTCATCTGCCGTAGGCGCAGGCCCCCGGACTCTGCCGTTCCCTGCCGCCTCTCCATCGTCCTCTGGGCCCTCCCTCCGGGTCCCCCTCCCCCCGCCCTGCTCCTGGTTCCTGTGGGCGTCTGGGATCCGCCCTTTGAGGGGGGGGGGGGGGGGTACTGTCACACCCTGTCCTGTCTTCTCCTAGGTTGTAGTCTGTGTCTCCGTTAATTGCTCCCACCTGCCTCTTGTTTCCCAATCACCATAGCTCCCGTTCCTCATGTATTTAAACCCCTGCTGTTCTGTGTTCCTTGTGGTGTCATTGTTTCATTGTCCAGCGTGCTTAATAAAGCCTTGTTAATCGTTCCTACCTGCCTGCCTGTTTCCTCCCCGGTCTGGATCCACGCCTTTCCTCCGCTCCACTCTGCAGCACGTCGTGACAGATTCCTGACTCACTGATCAACTCCATAGTGATTCTATGTGTCTGTAGGCATCAGATTATCTAAACCAGTGGTTCCTAACCTGGGGGTCCCGACCCCCACAAGGGGGTGCCAAAGCCTCTCAGTGGGTCGCCAGGACCTCTCCACTTTAAGGGGTTAAAACTTCATTTATTAATAGTTTATACCCTACATTGTGCTCACATTTGTTTTTCATGAGTGAAACGTTTACTGATATTAAGACAGGAAATAATTAGTACAGAAAAAGTAACACACTTTGAAGAACATTTTGCTCAGCTCACAGTTTTATTTTCAAGTGTCAAAAGTTCATTAAAGATAGGACCGGTTGATTAATCACAGCGTTTAAATAATCTAGTCTAAACAGTAATATACACATTTAAGTACATTTTGCTCAGTGTATTTTTTATGTGTCAAACGTTTATTGAAAGGAATGATTGATTTATCAGTGTTTACAAGAAACAATGCGTTCAGAAAAGTAATACAAACTGTTAAGCACATTATGCTCTGTTTGGTTTTGTTAATGACTTTGTTCTGTACTGGAGCCTACTATTACTCTATTAAATCGAAGCATATTAAAATGTGCTTGAACAATTTTATCATTTCTTAATACTGTTTGTACTGGAAGAGAGAATGGGAGGGGTCATCAAAAATTTTACTGGTAAAAAAGGGGTCCCTTGGGAAAAAGGTCGGGAGCCACTGCTCTACACCTTCTTTACATTCATGGCTTCAAAATTTGTCTCAACTGGCATTTTATACTTTATTCTGTAGAAATATTTCTTCGTTCATGAATTATCAAACAAAAACTTTTGGAATTATTTACTACAATCCATATTTTACACTTTTTCAAGTAAACAAAGAAGCACTGGAGATTCTATCTTCATATCTGTAATATTTACAAAGCATCTCAGCACATTTCTCAAGGCCAGTCCTCAGATTGTTTGATGCTAAACTCATCATGTGTACCCACAGCTTCTGAAGTGGCCTTTAGCGCATAATTTATGCTTATTTATGAGTTCTCATATTAATGAGCCGTTAGGCTGCAAGAACCAATTAAAAGGAAATGAATCCATCGGTCACTGGTTTTAATAAGTCCCTCTTTAAATGCATCTGCTCCATGCTGGCCTATAGACAACACAGCTGAGATTAAAGGAGCCGCACCATGCTAGTTTAAACCTTCGAGAGCAAAGGCAGGCACAATTTATGATAAAATCTGTTGGCGCTATTGAGATGCCATTTATCTGAAATATGAATTTTCATCAGCCTGAATTTATACTGTAAATTAAATTATTTGTGAATTTAGTGCAAAAAAATGGATTGCCTACATTGTATCACAGTACAGGGTAAGAAGACCACTTTTATAGATCTCTAAAAAAATCATACATAATTTCTGAAAGGGGGACAGGATTGCTGCTTTAAAGTTATTGTTATGATGTCTCGATCTGAGGTGAGTTGTGCTCTGAGAGAGTTGGGTATTTATTGGGCAGTGGCATTGCACAGTTTATCTTAGTTGTTTACACACAATTACATTTACGCCAGACACAATGTCTTCAACATGTGAAGCTGTAAAGTAAATTGGCAGATTTTTTTGCTCAAATATTGTTTGTAAAATATTCACCCTATTTTAAATAAACCATTTTTTCTAGAGAAGTATTTATTTTATTTTTAGACTAAAAATAAGATAAAATGAGACGTTTTAAGTTTTTCAGAAATCCGTTTTTGCAGTGTAGAGTGCCAGAATTTTGAGAATTATGAGGAAAAAAGTAAGAATTCTGAAATTAAAGTTAGAGAAGCCACTCCACTGTCTGTCCAGTGTGTGGTGAACAGGGGTCCCGGTGTTCCATGTTGGATGCTTTTTAGTGCCCTCTCCTCCACCTGTTGTCTCTTTTCGGGGATCAGTGTGTTGAGCTGCCCATTTCTCATGTGATCTGACGTTGTCATTTCATCTCACCCAGGTGGAAGAGGGGGGTCGTGCCTCCTTGGTTGGAATCCAGGAGAGTGATGAGTTGGTGTCCATCAACGGCGAGCCCTGTGCTGATCTCACTCTCTTACGAGCGTTCGCTCTCATCGACACATCGACCGACAGTCTGCAGTTACTGCTAAAAAGGTAACTGTGATATGCTGTGCTTTATTTACATGAAATCTGAGCAGCAGATTGCTTTTTGTTTTAGCCAATAGTCTGCCAAACGTTATGATCTGAATCTACTCATTGACAAAGAGATGATCTTAAAGGAAAATGTGTTTCCTAACCCTAAGGAGTCAATGTAACAGGAAGTCTTTTTTAAAACAATTTCTTGATTGCATTAATTGAAATTCCATCCTTGGCTTAGTGCTTTTCTCCTCTTTTTCCTCTTAAAGACACATCTACATCTCATCTGAAGATGGTGAAACAGATGGGACAATCTGTAGTGAGAGGACCTCTTCAGGCAAGGCTTTAGAAAGTACCACCCTCCACATCATCTCATCAAAATACAGGTCCAGTGTCCCCAAAGAGCTTTACACCTCTGAGTCCCAAGGTGAGACCCTCTATGAAGACTTGGACATCAACAGAGAGGCTCCCTGGAGAACAAAGCAACATTCGTCTGATGATTTGGAAAGACACAAGTTGGTTTTTAAGAAAGAAGATGAGGAAGTACGGCGGTGCTTTTCTCCTGGTGATTTGGTGGAGCTTCAGGTGGCCCTGTCTGAGCAAACCTTGGAGGACAAGGGCTGCACTTCTCTAGGGAGTGCTCGTGGGATTCAGGGAGAGTTTTTGAACAAGGAGGATGGCGAACCAATACATACTCCCACAGGCTCTACCAAAGAGTCACTAAGGCAGCATGGGGTGGTGGTTGGCTCCCCCTCGATGCGGCGCAAGGTGGAGGTCGTTCTGCAGCAGACAGAAGCATCAGCAGCAGGGAGGGGCGTCCTGAGCGTGGGAGGCCCTAGGGTCAGTGAAAGTGTTGAATCCCAAAGCGAAGGAAGGCAGTTCGAGGGAGTTCCCGAGTCTTTTACCATCTCGTATGAGATTCCATCAGAGGAGGCGGACAATCAGAACTCAGATTCTGACGGGGGTCAGGAAAAACCCAGCAAGCATCGGGCGAAGCACGCTAGTGAGTACAATTGGAGAATTTCTGTTGGTCCCAATGAGTCTTGCACCATTGAACTGCATTTGTTAACATATGTGCATTCCAGGGTGTGTGTGTGTGTGTGTGTGTGTGTGTGTGTGTGTGTGTGTGTGTGTGTGTGTGTGTGTGTGTGTGTGTGTGTGTGTGTGTGTGTGTGTGTGTGTGTGTGTGTGTGTGTGTGTGTGTGTGTGTGTGTGTGTGTGTAAGCCTTAAAATAGGATGTGTTTTTTTACTGCAGTTGGAGGAGGGAGTCCATTCCTTTGAACGAAAGCAGATACAGCCTAGCGGAACTGGAATTACCGCATGAGTGGATCAAACTGTAGAGGAAGTACCATACAAAACTTTAAATAAATCAATCAAACTTATTGATAAATAAAAAAGGCTAAATTAATCCCAGATACCTCTTAAACATCAAGTATCTATCTGAAGCCATCTTGATGACAAATGTGGATACGGATGTTCTCCTTTGAGTTGTGTAGAAGACACAAAAATAACACCGGCGTGCTGATGATGCCCGCAGAAGTAGCTCTTTGACAGACACCAGCATGTGCTCCTCTAGTCTGTTACCTGATCCTTTCTAACTGGGTGCTTTAACTGAGCTGAAAAAGGGAGCGTGTTGCTCACTCCCGTTGTCTCCTGCACCTTCAGGTTAGTCCAGCAGAAATGTGACAAAGTAAGCCTGTTTGATTGATTTGAACGATTGCACAAAATTGTCTTGAGTGGATTTGTCAAGTTTGGTATTTTTGTGTATTTAGACTAACTGTAATTTGGGAAGAAGTATAAATTATGACTGTCTGAGACTTAGAAATGTATTGCATCAGGCTTTTTTGTTCAGTTCGTATTTCGAGCTTGTTTACTGGATTGAATAGCTGGATTACGGTTGAGACTTCTTGATGAACAAATGTGAATAATATTTGGGTCAGTTAATTTTATTGCTTCTCTATAGATGAATATTTTATGTGCAGCCGAATAAGTACATGAGGATGAAGATTTATTGTTTGGGTTGATTTAACCCGAGAGCATGTGGTCATTTTGGTTTATCGGCTGTATTTTTTATTCTTTATATTATTATCAGTGTTATAAACTGGAATTAGCTTCTCATGTTGTCCCATGCCCTTGTTGCAGTTTTATAGGTCATATGTTTTACCTTGTTCAAGTCTTTTCACAAAAAGTAAATTGCTTGAATTGTGGGTGAACTTCTAACAAAAAGTAGCCTGGCCAGCCATGCCCATGCTTCCTTATAGGAAGCAAAGGGCTTGGTAACGCTCCCATTTAAATAACCCCACCCCCTGAGAATTAGCTAATCAGCGCAGAGTAGCATACGTCACACACCGCAACACTCAGTTTCTCATAAACAACGAAGACGGTATCAGAAGCGGAGTTCGCTGCGGCTCTTTCCTCTGTTCTAAATGACTTGAACATGTCTTTAAACCCACAACCGCTAAAAGCCTTTCCTCTAAAGAAAGATGTTTGCAACGTCGCTAGACGCCATCTTTGACTATAGCAAAAAAAAAACTACAGCGCCACGCCATACATTCGTCATTTCCGCCATTTTTCTGAATGGTTATTTTTGAGCTGGCTAGTCCCGCCCTTCATGGTGCTCTCTGCCTCTTAGTGTCCAGACGTGTCCTCAGTGTAGATTAGGCAGATGATGAGTCTGGCAGGTCAGGCTAGACAAAAATTGCTTCTTTACAACTTTAAACAATATTTTGCTCATTTTGAAGCAGGGTTCCATGGAAATATCAGGATCAGTAAAAATCTTGCATGTTTGAAAATCGTTAAACAACCTCAGTTTGAAGAAAATATGAGTTAAAGTAACACAGAGCAGTTTCCTGCTGCTCCGTTCTACCGGCTAAAAGTGGAATTACAACTGTGGTAAACTCTGCTGTAGCCTGCTGTAGTTAGTGCTAACAACGAGCTAACATGAGCCAACTAACACTAAAATAAACCACAAAAGATCCACATGGTTGGACAAAAATATTATTACGTACAAGTCCAGTAGCAACAAAGCCAGCTCACCATCAGTCCGTGATTTTGCAGTCTCCTTTAGCTCCTTCAAGCTAGTGTAGGCCACACCGATGTTCTCTCTGGTTTTAACTCTTTGCTTCACCTTCAAAGACATTACTCTCTTATTTTTACTTCCAGGCCCCACCAATATACCAACAGGAAAAGCAAACTTCTTCTTCTTCTTTTTCTTATGCTTTTTATTGATCATCGCCAAATGGCAAAAAAAGCTTACTGCTAGCATAACAGCCAACAGCCCTACAGCAGGTAAAGAGCGTCCCCTATGTAACACCTACCCTGTCCACAAAACTGTGAATTGTAGTATCTGGCCAGTAGAGGGCTTCAGAGTGATGTCAAATATGAAACTGGTCATGTTTCTAACCAACAAACACTAAGATTAACACTCGTAAGTTAGAGTTAAAAACTATTTAGTTCACTTTAACAGAGATCGTCCCAGTGGAACCAACGGGACAAATCCAGTGTCCTTATAGCCGTATTGTAGTTAATATATGGCTTTGAAATTTCATTTTTAATCATTTAATCATTTTAAAATGACCTATTCAAAATTTTCAAACTATTAACTGTTTAAATATTTTTTATATTTAAGAGATCCCAATAATCTAATTTAGGTGAAATTAAAATGTACATCAGACAAAATATTAAAGCAATTTCACTCTCAAAAATGTCATAACAGTTCATGCAAATCGATTTTTATAACCTTCACATTGTCATTAATGTCATTCAGTGGTTATTTTAGCAGAGTGATTAGCATATTCCAGCAGGATAAAACGGAGTGAAATTTTCCATAACCATTTTCGTAACCCATTTTTTAAAATTCAAAGTATGATTCATGAACGGCTGTAAGTCTTTTGAGTTTAGAAATGAAATATCTTCTAATCCTCTCTACCCAGACTAACTTGTAGCTATCCAGCCAGAGCTAATCTCAGAAGATCTGGAATGTTCCTTTAAATTGGTGATCAAATAGATTCATAATACAGAAAACCCACCTTTACCAATTCTTTTGTGCAGATTTATTTTGTTTGTTTCACCAACACAAACGAAAGAACCAAACCAAAAGCCCTCCGGAGGACTACCTTCCACCTAAAATACTGCATGAGGTCCTTCCACCGGTGGCCCTTGCCATTTTAGACATTGTAAATTCCAGCTTCTCCTCTGGTGTGTTTCCCGTAACATTTAAAAATGCAGTTGTTCAGCTGCTGTTAAAGAAACCTGACCTGGACCAGTCCATCTGTGCCTATTATTGCCTGATTTCTAGGCTTACATTCATCTCTAAAGCCACTGAGAAACTGGTTCTTACCCAGCTTACTTCTCATTTGAACATGGGCTTCTTGACCCATTTCAGTCAGGTTTAAGACCAAATTACAGCACCGAATCAGCCCACATTTGGGTTCTCAATGATAACCTGATTTCAACAGACTCTGGCTCCTATGTTTACTGTTACTCAACCTGACCGTGGCATTTGAGACTGTTAGACCACACCATCCTTCATAGGCTTGAGTGGGTGTCACAGGTACTGCTCTTTCCTGGTTCAAATCATACCTCAGTGGTTGATGTTTTGATGTCCATATTGAGGATTGCTCCTCTCCCAATGTCCCACTTTCATGGGGAGTGCCTCAGGGTTTGATCCTGGGTCCGCTCCTTTTTTGCTTTTTTCCTCCCTCTTGGAAAGATTTTATCCAATCACGGAGTCAACTACCATTTCTACGCAGACAGTTGCCCAATTTACCTGAAACTCAGTCAGCAGCACTAATCTACAGTTTTGGCAGAATGCCTCTCTGAGGTCAAAACCTGGCTGTCCTCTAACTGCCTAAAGTTAAATGATGGCAAGACAGAAGCCACTCTTTTTAACCCCATTAACACAAATGGTGCTACAAATGTTCCCGCTCTTCCCTCACTCAGTCCTAAATCATGTGTCACCAGCCTGGGTGTGAAACTCGACTCAATGACTCCACAAGTCAATGCCGCTGTCATGTTTCGCTTTTTTCAACTTTGCCGCATCACTTGGCTTAGATCCATCCTCAAACACCCGCATCTTGAATCTGTCATTCACATATTCATTACCTCCTGTCTGGATTATGCCAACTCTGTGCTGATTTGGATTAATGCACCCACCTTAAACAGTCTACAGAAAGTTAAAAATGCTGCAGCTAGGTTCTTAACCAAGTCCAACAGATGCATGCACATCACAACCATTCTTGCTAATTTACATTGACTCCAGGTAAAATTTAGGATTCATTCCAAAGTGTTGCTTTTTGTTTACAAGGCTTTGAATAGTACGTCAACAGCTTATCTGACTGAGCTGCTGACTCCATATACACCCACACGTTCCCTTTGATCGACCGATCACCAGCTACTGGTTGTTCGGAAGGTCCGCTATACATCACGTGGTGAGCGTGCTTTTTCTCACGCTGCCCCCAAACTCTGGAACTCTTTTCCCATCCAAGTACGTTTGGCTCCGTCCCTCAACAAGTTCAAGTCTGCGCTTAAGACAAATTTTTTTTTAGCATTGTCTAGCTTACATAATCTACCTCACTAAAAACTGCACGACTCTAGTAGACCGTGCCTTGCCTCACTGCACCTCTTAGGGCTGTTTTACTTTTCTAGTTTAATTTAACTATGATTCATTAACTCTTTTAGGTACACCTTGGGATATTTTTTAGTTTTTTTGGTTTTTTTATGCTGTTTTTAGCGGGTTTCATTCAATTTTTCACTTGCCTTCCATAGTGATTTTACTTTTTTGTCTGTTGTTGTGTTTGAGCCTTTGGCGTTTTATGTACAGCACTTTAGTTAACTGACATTATATTTTTAAACTGTGCTTTATAAATGATTTGGTAGAGTATACTAAAGTAAAACTTTCATTTGATGTGAAATCATCAGAGTGAAGCACTATTAAATTCACTTTTTTATGTTGTGCTGTTTTTAAAACCATTCTCTTTTTTTCCCCCCCATTCTTCTCTAATTAGGGCTAAGGCGCAACGAGAGTCTGTCTGAGAAACAGGTGAAGGAGGCCAAATCCAAATGTAAACGTATTGCTCTTCTCCTTTCGGCGGCACCACCAAACCCTAACAACAAGGGGGTGTTGATGTTCAAGAGACATCGCCAGAGGGCCAAAAAGTTTACTCTTGTGAGCTACGGTACAGGAGACGACGAACCAGAGTTTAGTGACGAAGAGCAAGAGGATTCTGAAGAGGAGAAGCTGGAACCTGCTGCTGGAAATTACAAATTTGAAGCTTCTGTTGATTCTAAGTCAGACAAGCATTTTCTTGCTAATGTCCCAAGTGGCAAAAGTGTTCTAATTTTAGATTTGGACCAGAGTCTTTTTGGAGTCAAAACGGACTTGAACAGCAAAACAAAGATGGAATGTTTGCCTGAAACCAAAGGTAAAGGCGCTTTAATGTTTGTTCAGCGGCGTCAAAGAATGGATGAGATCACTGCAGAACATGAGGAACTCAGACGCCAAGGGATACCTGTGGAAGGAGTTCAGGAGGCTGAGAAGAAAGCAGATGAGTACTCTTATATGCAGTCCACAACAGATGGCCATGCTTACATGGATGTAAATATGCACCAACAAAGCCAGCAGCATTACCAGCAATACCAAGAGCAACAGTACTATGAGCAGCAGCAGAGCTACCAACAGCAGCAGCATCAACAATATCAACAATACCAGCAGCAGCAGATACAACAACAGCAATATGAACAACAACAACAACAGCAGCAGCAAATATATCAGCAACAGCAAAGTTATCAAGAGCAACAGCAAATTCAGCACTATTCTGCAAACATCAATGGCATGGTTCAACATCAAACCAATGAAATTCAGAGTTCTTTCAGTAATCGCACAGCAAAGCCTTTTACAGCAGATAATATGGTAGCAACCCCTTATTCTCAAGTGGCAAGTGGGACTAACCAAGATTCTGTGGGTCAAGGAGAGCAGATAGCATCTCGTGATGAGCGGATTTCTACTCCTGCAATAAGAACTGGGCTTTTGTCAGACACAAAGAGAAAAAGCACTAGCAAGCCAATGTTCACCTTTAAAGAAGCACCAAAAGTATCACCTAACCCAGCATTATTGAGTCTCCTCAACAGGGGTGATAGGAAAGGGTTTGAGTCTGGACCTGAGGAAGACTACCTTAGCCTTGGGGCTGAAGCTTGCAATTTCCTCCAGTCTCAAAGAGTTAAACACAAGATTCCACCACCAGTTGCCCCGAAGCCCGCGATCAAGCCCAATTCTCCTCCTTGGTCCCTTCAAATAGAAGCAGCCAACCAGGACATGCCTCAGTGTGCTGAAAATAGTCTATCCTCACCTGCTGCAGCCCCCACCAAAGAGGCCGCCCCTGCTCTAGAACCAGAGCCAAACCCTGCACCTGCCCCAGAGTCTTCCATCCTTCCTTCCCCACAAGACACTCCTGCAAACAACACCACTGCAGACCAGCATGCATGGTCTCTCCCAGAACCAGAGTCTCAACAACAGTCTCCACAAGTAATGGTTCAGGAGGCTAATAGTCTGGTGAATTCTGCTCTGCAGTCTGAAACATCACAAATGGCCACATGGGGAGCAGTACAAACACAGCAACAGTCTACTTCCTGTTCTTGGCAATCAGGACAAATGCAGCCCCAGAACCCACCTCCAACCCAGTCCCCATCACAGCTACCTTGGGTAACCCATCAGCCTACTCAGAATCAAGCACCTATTCAGCATCCAACAAACACTTGGCCCCCTCAAAGTCCGCAATCATGGGCTCAGCCTGAAGAACAAGCACAAGACCGTCCAAATGCTCAGCCACCTTGGGCTCAACCTCAAGAACAACCACAGCCTCAGCCACAGATTCAGCCACCTTGGTCACACATTAAGGAGAAGCCTCAATTGCAGCAAATGCCACCAACTTGGGGTCAGGCCCAAGAACCACAGCCACCCCCTCAGAACCCTTGGACACCGCCAGCACAAATGGAGTCTCAACAGCAGCCACCATGGGTGCATCAACCTCAGTCCAAAATCCAATCTCAACCTCCCTGGGTTCAACAAGCTCAGCCAGAAACACAGCCACAATCACCTTGGGTTCAGCAACAACAACATCCAGATTTGCCACAATCGTGGTCAAAGGCTCAAGCGCCAGGTCAACCTCAACCACCATGGGTCTCAGCTCAGCCTCAACAGCAGCCATCTTTTAATACATGGGCCCCATCACCACCTCAAGGACAATCTCAAACACCCTGGATCAATGTACAACCTCAAGCTCAGGCTCCAGTTAATCCAATTAATCTAAATCCATGGGCACCAGTTCCTGCCCAACCTCAGTCCGAAGCTTCTTGGAATCCGCAACCTTCAGAGCATGGTGGTCAGCAACACATGAATGCTTGGGCTCCGGAACAAAATCAAGCCCAGCATCAGCCACCTTGGATTCAACCAGTTCCATCCCAGCCTGTACAACAGCCAAACTGGCAGCAGCCTGCTCCAAACACTCCACAACAAATGCAAATGAATATGTGGTCCTCAGGCCAGGTGCAGCCTCAAGTACCTGCTAATGACTGGAGACCACAGTCACAGCAGGCACCTTTAAATGCTCCCGCATCTACAGTGAACATCCACCCTTCCCCTAAACCCTGGCATCCACTGCAATCTACACCACAAAACCAGATGCCTCCACCTCCACCCCAGAGAATGCACTCCTTTACTGTTGTTCAAAAATCTTCGTCACCTGTCAACCCAATGGCTACCGTCTTGAATCCTAAACCATCCCTTGGTTCAGCCTATGAGATGCCAGTTGTCAAAGGGAAAGGAGCTGATATGTTTGCGAAGAGGCAATCCCGTATGGAGAAGTTTGTCGTGGACTCTGAGACCGTGGAGGCAAACAAAGCAAGCCGGTCAACATCACCAGCTGCTTCCTTGCCAAACGAATGGAGATACACCCCCAATGTACGTGCTCCACCTCCTCGGGCGTATAATCCAATTCAGTCACCTTTTTATCCCCCAGCAGCAACAAAGCAGCCCCCTGCAAATAGTCCAGCAATCAAACCAAAGAAAAAAGATCAGGAGAAGTCAGCACCTGCCCCTAAACCTCTTAATGTAATAGATGTCATGAAGCATCAACCCTATAAATTAGATTCGTCACTCTTTATCTTTGGGCCAGCAGCAGAGGCTGCCAAGCCCCCTACACCAAAGCCTAGCTGTTCACCTTCTAATCCACCCCCCGACAGCCAACAAATTAGGTATGAGCAAATGATCCCGGTCCAGCAAGCTGGATCATTTGGCGTCCCATATCCTCAGCAGGCCTATGGGATACCCATGCAGCCTCTAATGCATGATGGTCAGTATCAGCAGACCCAATCTCATGTGTATCCCTATCAGCAGCCTCCAAGTGGTCCATACCAGCAAGATTATAACCAACAGTACCAACAATCTGTTCAACCACCATATCATCTTCAAATGGCACAGCCTTTAAACCTCCCCTACCAACAAGCTATTCAGGCTGCTTACCAGCCTGCCAGTAGCCCTCCCTATCTGGCAACTCCTTCTGTACCATATAAACCACAGTCTACCAGTAGCTACATCGCTCCTAACTTCCCTGTCGCCACTAGACCTGAATCTGCTTCAGGTGGTAGCACCGCAGCTGCACCCAAACCAAAGTTTACAGCTAACAAGAGCTCAGCTCAGGTCTGGAAACCCACAGCAGCTGAAAAAGAGTGATTATTCTAGACTTATGGTGGGCTTGTAGTTGTATCGGGGGGGGGGTTGTGCTCTTAGTACACTGACAAGAGGAAGATTTTGAGCACAAACTGTAAACGTCCTTTTGCAATTACTATTTAACCTACCTTATTTTGGTAGAACAAAGCATTGTAGTTTACGACAGGTAGGTCTAACCTAGGGTCTATTTGCGACCCTCAGACTGCTTTGTGCAGTCCCCAATTGTATTTTTAGAATTTTCTCAGATTTTCTCTCCAGCAGGCTGTTGATGTAGATTGAAAGCTTTTTACATTTTTATTATCAGATCCGTACTAACATGAGGCCTATTTTGAGCATTTTTTTAAAATCACTATATAATGAGAATTCTTTTTTTTTTTATCACCATTTTTGTGGCCTATGGGGACATTTTGCTTGACGAAATTGGCCCTAGCCTTGAAAGGTGTATATGCGCTCCTGGTTTACAAGTTTTCAGAGTTCATTTGGAAGCCATTATTACAATAAAAAGATTAAGTCATGCTCTACTTTCACATAAAATTTAAACTCAAAACAAAAATGAGCAGTTTTAAAAAGAGATGGTTAAGTGAGTCAAATAACTGTGTAAGAATGTAGGGGAGCAAAACGCTCAGATGTGGAATATGTAAGAATTTGGAAGAAAGAAGTTTATTCTTGAAAGCAAGAGAACTTTATGTGATGAACTGATCCAAGTATTTCAACAGAAGGGAGAGACATTACATAAATAACGATAAGAAACAAACTGGCTGTAAAAAGTCTATGTGCAACATGTAAAGAGGTGCAGGAGAAGGGTGTGGGCTGTAATGATACGAGTACATTTGCTACGGTAGGGATGTCGATACAGACATGGAACATCTTTGGACTTTCGGCCATTTTTAGAAAAATGAACTGTGATTTGAAATGATAAATTTGGTTGCTTTGACATTTTGATTTGCTTTTTTGTTTGTATATTTTCTTCTGTCTTTACCTTAGCACCTCCTTGAGTGGGTTAACTTTATTTAAAGCAGTTAACCAGCTGTTGCATCATGTTAGACTCTATTTTTAACCTTCCTTGTGTCAAGTCCAGTCCTGCGGTGCACATAGAAGGTTCAAATTTCTACTTAAGCTATCAAAAGCTACTATCTAGCAGACCCTAGTTTTTCCTTCAGTAGCAGTTTCCTGTCCTCGTGTCTTCATGTAAGTATTGTCAGATAGAGATCCATGATTGATGCACAAAGATTTATTGACATAGTATTTGTATCTTCAAAAACATATTTTTGTTGTATTTTCTTTTTCCTTTTTTGTGTTTCTCTTCATTGTGCACTTTATGTATGATTCACCGCAGTGCCATTAAACTGTCTTTCATCCTGTTTGCTTTCTTTGCTTTTCTCCTTTGAGCATTCTTTAATGTTATCCTGCTTTCCTCTGATTTCTGTTCAGTTTCATCACTTTTTCACATTTCCCACTGCTATCAAGCACTGACCTATATGACACAAACAAACCAAAAAAATCAGTTTTAATCAACTTTTTTAAAGGAGTTGGGTGGCTCAGCGTGATTTAGTGGATCCTGGTGATACAATGCATGGCTTTCTGATAATATATATAGATGTTGTGTCATCCACGAGTTTTTGTATCAAATGACACCATTAGTTTCAGTAACTCTGTTAGAATGTTACTCACCCACTTCCTCATTGGCTCTTTACTCATGCATATTCATATGCTTTTTACAAGAAGGAGCCCCGACTTGTTTCAGCATCAGTTTTATGATTTTTATTTTTAAGAACATTGTGTACAAACACTTAAAAGTGTGGAACACTTGTTTAATTAATTCATTTCCAGTGGTATGTAAGAGGAATGAATGCCCTGTAAGTCATACTCGAGGCAGAAAAAAGCTCACATGCGTCTATTTCAGGAACTAGCAGAATACCACATCTCACCTGTGATTGGTTGACAGCAATGCGACTCTACAACTGACTCGGTTTTCTCTCTAACTATGATGCTTTATGTCCACAAATAACACAAGCCTTGAGGAGTTCTGCTGTGTGGTGGAGTTACTAATGCTAATGTTTAGCTTCTACTAGCCAAGACGTTCTCTGCTGTTTCCTGGATGCTAGAGCAATAACAGCCTTCCCCATCGTGAGTCAAGATGGATGAATTCATGAATGTTAAGTGACAGTGTGACGTAGACCTGTCAGGATTTTCTAATCCTAGAGTTTCACCGTCTATTTTCTATCAGAAGCTAATTCAGGAGATAGGTTTAAGAGACTATTTTCATGTTCAGCCTGCATGAAAAACTCTGAGTAACTGATACTCAAAAATAATAATTAAAAAAGGGGTTTTCAGTGTTCCACACCTTTAGACATGCATAAATTCCAAGGAGTCTGACTTTTAGTTTCTTTTTCACTCATTTTCTGCCAGGTTTTTTGCACATGACTATGACAGAATATTGTTTGCGTGTAAAAGTTAGAAAAGCAGGCAAGCAGAGGAAAACTGACAGTGTCTTCAAGTATGTCCAAAAATTGAACTCTAATTCTAAATCAGAGGAGTCACTGCCTATAATGGCTTTAGCTAATGGCTCATTTGGGAATAAAGCTAAATATTTTTTTCAGTCTGTCAAACTGATATTTTGGTATTTATATACAGGTCCTTCTAAAAAAAATAGCATATTGTGATAAAGTTCATTATTTTCTGTAATGTACTGATAAACATTAGATTTTCATAAATATTAGATTCATAACACACAACTGAAGTAGTTCAAGCCTTTTATTGTTTCTAATATTGATGATTGTGGCATACAGCTCATGAAAACCCTAAATTCCTATCTAAAAAAATTAGCATATTTCATCCGACCAATAAAAGAAAAGTGTTTTTAATACAAAAAAAGTCAACCTTCAAATAATTATGTTCAGTTATGCACTCAATACTTGGTCGGGAATCCTTTAGCAGAAATGACTGCTTCAATGCGGCGTGGCATGGAGGCAATCAGCCTGTGGCACTGCTGAGGTGTTATGGAGGTCCAGGATGCTTCGATAGAGGCCTTAAGCTCATCCAGAGTGTTGGGTCTTGCATCTCTCAACTTTCTCTTCACAATATCCCACAGATTCTCTATGGGGTTCAGGTCAGGAGAGTTGGCAGGCCAACTGAGCACAGTAATACCATGCTCAGTAAACCATTTACCAGTGGTTTTGGCACTGTGAGCAGGTGCCAGGTCATGCTGAAAAATGAAATCTTCATCTCCATAAAGCTTTTCAGCAGATGAAAGCATGAAGTGCTCCAAAATCTCCTGATAGCTAGCTGCATTGACCCTGCCCTTGATAAAACACAGTGGACCAACACCAGCAGCTGACATGGCACCCCAGACCATCACTGACTGTGTGTACTTGACACTGGACTTCAGGCATTTTGGCATTTCCCTCTGCCCAGTCTTCCTCCAGACTCTGGCACCTTGATTTCCGAATGACACGCAAAATTTGCTTTCATCCGAAAAAAGTACTTTGGACCACTGAGCAACAAACAGTCCAGTGCTGCTTCTCTGTAGCCCAGGTCAGGCGCTACTGCCACTGTTTCTGGTTCAAAAGTGGCTTGACCTGGGGAATGCGGCACCTGTAGCCCATTTCCTGCACACGCCTGTACACGGTGGCTCTGGATGTTTCTACTCCAGATTCAGTCCACTGCTGCCGCAGGTCCCTCAAGGTTTGGAATCGGTCCTTCTCCACAATCTTCCTCAGGGTTCGGTCAGCGTTTTCTGCCACACTTTTTCCTTCCCACAGACTTCCCACTGAGGTGCCTTGATACAGCACTCTGGGAACAGCCTATTCGTTCAGAAATTTCTTTCTGTGTCTTACCCTCTTGCTTGAGAGTGTCAATGATGGCCTTCTGGACAGCAGTCAGGTCGGCAGTCTTACCCATGACTGCGGTTTTGAGTAATGAACCAGGCTGGGAGTTTTTAAAAGCCTCAGGAATCTTTTGCAGGTGTTTAGAGTTAATTAGTTGATTCAGATGATTAGGTTAATAGCTCGTTTAGAGAACCTTTTCATGATATGCTAATTTTTTCAGAAAGGAATTTTGGGTTTTTATGAGCTGTATGCCAAAATCATCAATATTAGAAAAAATAAAAGGCTTGAACTACTTCAGTTGTGTGTAATGAATCTAATATATATGAAAGTCTAATGTTTATCAGTACTTTACAGAAAATAAGGGACCTTATCACAATATGCTAAATTTTTGAGAAGGACATGTATGTTAAATTGAAAAGAGAGAAAATCACATCTTTATAGTTTAAGTTCAGGTTTTGGAGGTGTAGTTAGGTTATGTGTGTGTCTGTTGTATGGGCCAACTTATTGCTTGAGTTAGTAAATGTTAAATGGCCTCTATTTAGTTCTAAGGGTTCTACAACCCCCCAAGGTGCTTCACAAAACAATTAGTCATCCACCCATTCACACACACATTCACATGCTGTTGATGATTAGCTACGATGTAGCCACAGCTGCCCTGGAGCACACTGACTGAAGCGAAACTGACAAACACTGGTGCCACTGGTCCATCTGACTTCCACCAGTTTGTGAGCTTTTCATACCTGAATGTTTCATAGCTCAGAGTTACATGGCACAAACAACATCAATTTGAAGAATCAATGGAAAATGAGAGAAAAAGCAGCCAAAATCCCCAAAGAAAAATTGACAGAACTTCAGAAAGACTATTTTGATATTTTACGCATCATTTAAAACAAAGATGGCCTTTTGCACTATATTAGACATCAACTCTTTAAATATAATCTGCCCCTTTTCTAAAATATATGGCAAATACACTAAGTCAGGCATATTGACATAATTATAATTTTTGGCTTTTTTTAGAGCTAAAATATGATCAGATATCTTCTAAAATTAGAGCTAAAATATGATCAGATATCTTCTAAAATTAGAGCTAAAATATGATCAGATATCTTCTAAAATTAGAGCTAAAATATGATCAGATATCTTCTAAAATTCTGAGTGTTTTCTGTGCTAACTCACTGTTTTGGACAATGCATGAGTTCATTTAATTCTATTATTTCCCTTCACAAATGAACTTTTTCCTTTCTGTTCTGTCATTTTTCAAGATTACTGCTAGTGCACACCTGCAGCCAGAAGGTGGCAGCACCTTTCTAAGGGTTCTCTTGCAGCAGTCACCAGAATTAGTGGTGACATAAGAAATCATGCATGGCATCCTTTTACCTCACATAGCCCTTAACTGTCTGGGTACCAAAGAGCAGACACAAGAATGAAACATTTAGCATGTTCTGCTAATTAGCTGTCTATGAAAGCTGACTACTGCAAAACAAGCTGAGGCTTTGTCCCTTCACCTCTATGACCCAGCTGTTTTGAGAAACAGGGCAATCAAGGCTGGAAGAAATACAATTAAATCTAAAGTCTACAATAAATCTTGCAATAACCAGGGGTAATGCCTTGTGAAGATGTTAGGATTTTATAGCTATTTTACATCCTAGTAAAGATATACATTTAAACTTAACTAACAACTAAAAAAATCTCTTAAAAAGAGCTATAGTCATCAGTTTCTAATGTTTTCTAAGCTGATTTGCACATAAGCCAGACAATAATGAGCACTTACTAAAATAAGCATGTCTGGATCTTTCTCTACAGGCAATTGGCAGAAGCTATTCCCTTTCTCCACCAGTCAGGGTGCCATTTACGGGCCAGAAATCAGCTTCTGCTTCCTCCTCTCCCAAGCCTCAAAGCCGATCCTCCACAACTCCCCCAGCAAGACAGACTTCCTGGCTGGAAAAAGGCTTCAAACCCCTAACCCCCTGGGAGGCTGCCTCCCGCCACCCCTTGGGCCTTGTAGACGAAGCCTTTGCTGTCCAGAACCTCCAACAGTCTATTGCTTCAAATGTCCGCCTGGCAGCCCAGCGTAAAATGCTGCCTGAGCCGCCAGCAGATTGGAAGGCCAGGGTTACTTACCCAGCCCCGCAGAAAGCAAGCAGCCAGACTTGGAGCCAAAGCCAAAGCCACGGTCAGAGTCGAGCTCCAATTCCTTCATTTGTGTCCCCAACAAGAAGCCCTGTCTCCACTCCAGTAAGCCACATTGGTTACAGGTCTCTGCCCAGACAGTGGCAGTCTCAAAAGTACGTGGCCGAAGTAAACCAAAAGCCTTCAATATGTTTTTCTGGAGGTAAAAGACCACCGGAAACGCACTCTTACAAGTCTGTATACACCAGCAATACGTGGAGTTGGAGGCGGTAGGATAGACATTGGTCTTTACACACCAAGCTCCTAATAGAGCTCTTTGTGTTATCTTATTTTAGTGGCAGTAAAGGATCAAATCAGACAGAAAAGTCAGTATACATTTGAACTGTTGGGAAGTTTGCATCAAATTCTGCTGTTTTACACCATTTATCAAACACTGTTTTTTAGTTTTGCTTTCATATCGTTAGCCTGTGTGGTTTTAGATGATGGTTGTAACAGTTACATGAGGAAAGAGAAGATCAGGTGGATTATTTAATGTCGGCTTACAAAAGGTTTTCTGTGTGGATTGTTTACATGAAATACATAGAAGTCATCCTGTACCGCCTTTTTGTATGTAAAAATGGAGTATAAATGGCCATCCATCACATCATTGGAAATTTGTAGGGATGGATAAAAAGTGGGAAACGATGTGAATGATCATGCATCATCAGTATCTCCAGGGATAACTGAAGCTTTCACAGAACAGAGGTGATATAGGGCTGTTGTGTAAGAAAAATATGCTTGAAAGTTTATTTTGAAACTTTGCTTCTTGGAATTCTGCCATTTACTTACAAAGATTGTAATCTTTTCTGGCCACCGTGGTTGTCTCTATGGGTTTATTCACCAAGAAAAACACATTAACGTTGTTTCTCATGGATAAAAAAAATGCACTTTTCCATGTATTGGGTGCACTTTCTTCAATACAACACATACGGAATGGTTATAGGGTCAACACTGTGACCCAAGTAGCACAAGTTTTACCACGTTATTGCTGTACCTAAGATTTACCAAATCTACTCAATATTTTGTTAGGAACCTTTAACAATTGTAAATGTGAACTATTCATTCTTAAATTAAGGCTTTGACTTTGATACAGTAAAATGATCAGGTTTAGGCTGATAGAAGACAAAGAAATTGAAGGCCACATTACACACACTGGTCAATCTTAATTCTAATCTTCTATGGTAATGTGATTTGGAAGTGATCAAACAGGATCACAAACAAGCAGATGAAATGCATTTCCTCTGTAGGGTGGCTGGTCTAAGGCTTAACAATCATTTGAGGAGCTCAAAAGTCCAGCAGAGACTCGAGTAGAGCCACTGCTCTTCCAAGCCAAGAAGTGCTAGCTAAAGTGGTCTGGGCATTTGGTCAGAATGCCTCCTGGACACCTCCTAGGAGGATGTTTGGGCATGTCCTGTTGGTAGGTTGACCCGGGACACATTGGATGCATTATATTGCCAGGCTGGCTAAGGAAAGCCTTGGAGTCCCACCAGAAGAAGAAGAAGAAGAAGAAAATATCATTTCTATAGCGCCTCTCAAGATAAAAATCATGAGGCGCCTCACAAAAACAAAAAATTTAAAAAATGTAAAAATATAAAAAAGCATTTAGAAAATGTTTTAAAATATATTTATAATGAGCAAAAATAAGCAATTGCGATTTAAAAGAAAAAAATGTTAAGAAAGAGAGAGAGTGAATAGGAAAGAGGGAAATCAGTGGATCCTGAGGAAGGTGGAATAGGTGGGGAGAGCAGAATAAAGAGAGAGTGGTGAAGAAGGTCATACAAAAAAAAGTAGAGTAAGCAGAGGTTGCTGGGGAGAGGGCAGTTGTGGCCTCTCTTCTGGGACTGCCACCCCATGACCTGGACTCAGAAAACTGGACTAACAGACAAATGAACATTTCATGCCAAAGTGTTAAATGAAGCTCATCTTGAACAACGCTGAAGTATGTGTCTTGAATATCACTTAGCTGTTACCAGTCTGTAAACCTGACAGGGTGGAAGCCATTTTCTGTTTGCTATGATAGATTAGCTGTGACAGCCATCTTCTGCTCAAATTCATGAGATATTTTTACTAACAAAAAGACAAACACACTTAAAGGAAAACATTGTTGTCCACATTTTGCGCAATTAGAAATAAAAAATGAGTAAAATTGGGAATTTTCACTTGTCAGAGATACACAACGTATAGTGATATATACATTGTGTTTCACAATCCAGCTTGATACATTAAATCTTCATTGCGATATTAGTTCAATGATTATTACTCATCCTTATATGTTGCCCATATAATTTATAAAGTTGGCACCATTCCTTTGAATGTTAATGCTTTAAAATGACTTTCTGGGGTCATAGGCGTGTTTCAACCATCGGAACCTCCAGGGGATTTTAGCTGACCTTCCCGGCATGCAAGTGTCTCCATTTCACCGGGTCGGCCCGAAAGAACCATTTAGTGGGCAATTTCAGGAACCAACGAAGTACCTGTACTTGGAAAGACCCAGTAGAGTCGCTGAGGGAGACTTGTAGCTAGCTCATGTTGATTGGCTCTAACTCAGTTGGAAAGAACATCAGCAGATGTTGCCAAATAACCAGCATTTGTAAAATTGGAAGAGTTGCTGGTGAAGCAGATTAGAAGGAAAAGAAAATAAGCACTGTTCAGGCTGCTTTAAAATCACCCTTTCTCAGCTCCCTACACTGAAAAATACTGGAAATCCCTCCACAACACCGTAATGCATGTTGCTTTGTGGTTTCACTGAATGCTGTGAAAAACTGTTTCTTCCGGTTATTGAACGCTGCTTTTTACATCACACAGCCGCTCTTCTGCTTATCCGAATGGATTAAATCACAGTGTGCTGTGATAGAATAAAACATTTAATACTAGCTCAGTGGTAGAGTGTCCGCCCTGGGACTGGAAGATCGGGGTTCGATTTCCCGGCTGGGTCATACAAAGAATTTAACCCTCCCACTGTCTTTATGGGTGACCCCGCAAGGAAAGTTGACCATTGAGCAGGATTGATGGTTTATCCCTTGAGGTCCACGTGGCAGGGGTGAGGTGGTGCTCACTCCTCACCCCTGCCACATGGACCCAAGGGATAAACAATCAACCCTGCTCAATGGTCAACTTTCCTCACGGGGTCACACCCACTAGGACAGTGGGAGGGTTAAAGATGGGACCCAATGACTCCCTGCTTAACACTCAGCTTTAAGGGGTTGGATTTGGGGGTTAAACCACCAAATAGATCCCGAGCACAGCCGTCGCTGCAGCTCATCGCTCCCCTCCATGGGGATGGGTCACATGCAGAGATTAATTTCACCAGTGTGTGATGATGAATTTGGGACTTTAATGTTATTATTTTCCATGGAGACCTGGCGCTGATCAGAGATATCACTCACTGCCAAAGCAGTTGCTGTATGCTAACCTGTCAGCAAAGTCCTGAAAGGGATGATTTTGTATGGAGGCACAATGCTGGTGAAGGTTCTCAGTCATCCAGGTCATGGTAATCCAAAAGGGTTCCAATGAAAGCAACTGGAATTCTTTGGTTTCTTGAAGATGTTTCGCTTCACCTATGAGGAGCTTTGTCAGTTCTGACTGGAATATGGGAGGATCCAGTATATAAACTATAGCTGTCTGTTGTTGGTTAAAGAGCTGAAACTACATATGAATACCCCTACCCCCGGTGAGTCATTGTGTTGATTACATGCAGAAGGGTGTGACCCTTCCATATTCCAGTCAGAACTGACAAAACGAAACGTCTTCAAGAAACCAAAAAAGTCTAGTTGCCTTTATTTAAACACTTTTAGATGCAGACCCAATGGCTAAGAGGACCGATCCATCATATCCCCTGGTCACTCTTCCCCCTCCCCGAAATCTAATAATGGAAACATGGCTCTTGATTCAAACCCAAATGAGTGCTGAGATTGAAAATTTAACAAATATAAGCATGAGGCGTGAAACTTGTGATACTGATTCATCAGAAAATCATAAAGTTTACCACTTTGTCAATGACAGACTAAGCATAGCAGATTTAAGGGTTTTTCTCACATATCTTTTAGGAACTACCCTGGTTTGTGTCATGAAAGATATAATGATGCTAAGATTGGGACAAGAAACATTAACACAATCCTTATATTTTAAATTGTGATTTTTGTAAGCTTCTGTTTTTGCAGTTCGCCCTGTTTATGTGTAGTTTTTGCTGTGTGTTTTCTACATTTTGCATGTTTACAGTGATTGTTTTACTTGTTTTGTGTTCAATCCACAGAGCTCAAGGACAGGATTAGGCTGATGCTTTCACCACAGGATATCAGATTGTCAGAATGTAATTAGTGGTGCCTCTTTGGAAACCAGGCTTAAAACTTGGGAAAAGGTTAGAGCTACAACTCAGCATGTTGCAGGCGAACATGTTACATAAGCTGTAATAAGTCAGATTGAATTTGCTTATTTACCAGAAGCATTTTAATTGGTGTAGCCACTCATTGGGGTTATAATGTTTTATCAAAGCCAGGCAAGGGAGAATATTTCACATTATGTCTCAAACATAATCACAATGTATTAAAATATTTGTTTGTGGAGTATAAAAACTTTACTGTGGTTTAAAAAAATCTAATTTTGGTGTTTGTGTTTCCTAGATTATCTTAAAGGTGTGGTTTACCTATTTATGCAATACATTTGCAGTGTTCTCTAGTGTAAATTAATGCCTTATGAGTCATTACAAAAAGCTCTGATGCTCCTGTTCTGAGATGCAGACATTTGCTGAGGCAGAAGTGGGCTGAAAACAGCAAGATTGCTTATTATTATTAATGAAATGCACACACCTCGCTAATTTCTCCTCCAGCTGACGTATACATCCTAGAACAGGCACATCTGAGCTTTTTCCCCCCACAGTACAACTTACAAGGCATTTATCTCTGCTAGAGACCACTGCGAATGCAACGATATGAGTAAAGTTGGCCTTTAAAGCACTTACGGTATGTGTGTCACCTGATGTCCTATAGCCTATCCGCAATGATTTCACTCCATAGTTTCCTGTGAAACATTAAGTATTGTGACCATAATCCAATACCACCAGTTTCTGTTCCTTCCATTTTTAAATAAACAAACATTTTTGCACCATTTCTGAAACTGAATAGTCTTTTTTTCTTCTTCAAGCTTTGAGGGAAACTCTGCTTAGGGCCTTTTTTATGTGCTACTATCCTATGAAGTTTGTCTTAATGCCATGTGAAGTTCATGTTAAGCACAGGGAGTTGGAAGGGGGAACGCGCTGCCATGGTGACCAGCGGTTGCAACAACATTGGCTACCAACTGTGGCTGCATCATTAGAGGATGACAGATAAGAAAACAGGAGGGGAGACTATCAACAGAAAATGTTTTCCTAATAGTTTTAAATTTAGAAAGCAATTTTCAAGTGGATTCTGTGCAAAAATAAATTAAGCGCTGGGCAGCACAAATGATTTAAAAACTTTCTGTCTTACTTGCAAAGCAAACACTCCTCTGTTTGTTTTCTAGGTTAAACATACTGTATGGGTAAATTAAATTTAGTAAAGTTAATTATGGCAGACTGTGATTTAAGGTGAGTTAACCTTGTTAGAATAAAGCCACATGATGGCATTTAAAACTAATAGTATCTGACTGGTGTGTGGGCCTTAAGGAATCCATATGTCCAGTTAATTTATTTATCTCTGGCTCTCTGGTTTGTATGTGCTCATGAGGGTAAAACCGGGTAAGTCTTTATACTTTTTGACAAAGTTTTGCCATTTGCCAAAATTCTGTTTTTCAGTGTATCTACAGTATGTTACACTAAAAAAAACACCCATGGGATGTGTTGGTTCACTTAACTAGACCAGCATTGGATTTAACTATTAATTTTTGCTAGTTTTAAGTAAACCTAACAGAAAAAAGTTACTTGTTAAATAGAGATTTCAAAATTATATACACTTCATTATATTTTAGAGTGAGTTAAAGTATTTAGTAGTTTGCTGGGTCAAACAAAGTATCTTAAATCCCTTTCATAATGCCTAAACAAGCACGTTGTCTTGTCAGACTTGTGGAATACGTGTAAACGTGAAGACAATGGTTAAATCTTGAAAACAACAAATAAAGTATATAATTCAAACAAATACATTTAGTTCAGTCAACCAGATCTAATATGTAACCTAGAAATAAGCTGTTGTTAATCCCATTAGATTAAAGATATAACATTTATTTAAAGGAATACATAACAAAAACCATGACTTTTGAAACAGATCCATAGTTTATTATCCATCCATCCTCTTTGTTTATCCGGAGTCGGGTCACGGGGGCAGCAGCCGGGCGTACACTGTGCGACTTTTTCACTTGTTGAGCCGATTTTCCACTCGTGCGAGAATCCACAAGATCGGGGTGAGTTTTGCGCCGAGCGGTCGTGTAGTGTACAGGGGGTAACGAGAGGCGATTAACACCACGTGAACAGCTGCTGATCAGCAATCGTGAGCTCACACGGACTTCTGGCGTGTTTAATATTTTGCTCGTCCCTCATGAGGGTATTGCACTGTTGAAGCGGCGCTGCGAGCAGCTGCGACCCAAAATGTATCAGAACCGCTCACGGCGCATGCGCAATCCTGCATCAACACCGCTCGCCCGCTATTTCCCTAATAACACACGTTGTTCGTTTTTGTTTCTACACGTTTTTTTACTCACAAAGATTTTCAAGAAAGCGTGCTTGTGGTGTTCATGTCAAATTAAACTGATCACAAAACACGGATTTACTTTCTTTATTTCGTTTTCCTCATCCAACCCCCATAAATCCCTGTGTGTCCTCCTGCAGCACTCCCAAAGGACAACAGGCAAGACAAAACAGTCTGACGTGTTGAGTAAAAACTGCTACTTTTAGCATATTTTTAGGTCCGACGTGTTGCTACCAGACGTGCAGTGTGAGCAGTCAGATCGCATCCGAGAACTGGGTCGTGCAGTGTGAGCACATGACTCGTGAGATCTGCCCTGCGAGGAAGTCGTACAGTTTGAGCTGAAACTGAGTGCTACGAGTGAAAAAGTCGCACAGTGTACGCCCGGCTTGAGTTGAGAGGTCCAGACTTCCCTCTCCTCAGTCACTTGGGCAAGCTATTCCAGGGGAATCCCAAGTCGTTCCGTGGCCAGGTGGGAGTCATAGTCCCTCCAACGTGTCCTGGGTCGCCCTTTAGGCCTCCTCCTGGTTGGACGTGCTCGGAAAACCTCACCAGGCAGGCGTCCAGGAGGCATCTTAATCAGATGCCTGAGCTACCTCAACTGGCTCCTCTCGATGTGGAGGAGCAGCGGATCTATTCCAAGCCTATCATTTGCTAAAAAATGTAGATTTATTCATTTTGGTTTACAGAAAGGAAGACCAAAAAGAATACACTGGCAGGCAAATGCAAGTGTTCAGTGAAGAATCAAAGCCAGTAACAGGAGCGACCCAGAAGTGGTTTGTTGTACCCATAAGACGTCACGGCATCTTTTTGTTTTTACTCTAATATTGGGTAAAGAAGGCTAGAGGCTAACATTGAGCTAACAGAGCTAACGGAGAATTAGAAGCAAATAGTCAGCTCTAAAAATGTCTCAAGCTACTTTCCCAGTTATTAACAACTCGATATTAGAGTGAAGTGTAATAATCTACTCATCGACTTTCTGTGTCGCTCATCATCTAAAATCTTCTGGTGCTGATCTGTAACCGGCAACATGAAACTTACAGAACAGCAGTGAGAAAATGACCAGTGTGTTTTGAAAAGAGGCTGCAGTAACCAAGTTTGACAACAGGATGTCATTTTTACTTCATTCCTACCTACCGCATCTTTAACTGTAGCAGCTCCAAAAGTTAAGCAGTTGTAGATGTGCAGTCACTGGTTATTTTCCCTGAGTTTAATTAAAATCCAACTAATGTTTCATGTGATACTTTGTTAACATATGCAATAAAACAACATAGTATAAAAAAATGTAGACAAGGTTCACTACCAAATTTAGTGTCAAAGCTTTGGGCAAATACTGTAGTACTCACAGTATGTGGTGGGATTGGCTCAGCTACGTCCACACCTACTTTTCTTTCCACATCTGTGAAATCGACTGATTTACAAATATGTTTGATGATCCAACGTGTTGAATATTCCTGAAAAATGATCAGAAAGGTCCCAGTGTCCTTCAGGGCTGACCAGAGCACTAACGCACCACACACTGTAGGATTATCTGGTAAGATTATATATAGAGCCATCATGGTAATTGGGGGCATCCTATAGATTGTCAGAATGAGGGAATCAGGTAAAAACTCTGCACAATTCAGACCTAAGCAGCAAGTCCTGTTCAGAAATCAATCCTGAGCTGCTGGCTGCAGCAGAGGGCAGAATGAGCAGTAGTGGTAGTGCTCTAAATTTAGTATCTTCTTTGCTTGTAAGCCAAATACCGATGACAACATACAAACTCACACCCACTCACTCAGTCAGTCAGTCACCCTTTGCCCACCCTCTCCACACCAGCTTCAGTATCAGGGAGTGCTAGCACCCACACAGATCACACTACTCCTCCTGACCCTTCTGCTTCTCACCTTTCCAATTTCCCACACCGAGAAGAGAGGCACAACTTGAGGCAACCCCCTGAGGGGCCTTCAGGACAGGTAAGCATTACACAGGCCTCTCCACAGGTGTGCTGTCTGTTTCTAATGCAACACCCAGACTTTGAGTCAAGTGTGACCCTGACTACCACCCCAGTTGGTTTCCTGGTTGTCATAGCACTTCCTTTTAGATTCATGTCTGTTTAGATTATCAGAATCAAATTATATATGTTTTTATTCACTATAGAAAAATATAGCAATATATAAATATATTTTACCATGCTCGGTAAACCCCTCCTTTGTTCCATTTAAAGAACGCGTCTGGGTTTCAATGAGACATAGTGTGAACTGATTAGTGTGTGCAAACTTTCCACTCACATCTCACACGTTTGCCTTGACAGCGCCGTGTTCTCTATTTGTGTCCCATCAACCCACCACGGCATTTTTGAACATATTGATTCCTAGACCCCTGACACGGCTGGCTGCCACCTCTGAAGAGCATGTGCTTGGAGTTGAACAGCCCAAGGTTATTTAAAGGGATAGGCTAACTTTGCCCTTTTCAGCTCCCCAATAAATTCTGTCTGCTTCAGTGGCTCTCTGAGCGTGTGGTGGATGCTCGATGTTGGCCAATCGATGGCCAAAAGGCAGTCTCCTTGCTTTTGTCTCCCGTTATTTATCTCAACAGCTTGTACTGACGTTTGCTGTCTCAGGTGACTTTTTTCCTGTCTATTCCCAAAGGGCAGCCATGTCTCAGTTCTCCACCATGACAACCAGGGAGAGGAAAATACAGGCAGCAGCGATCTGCAGGGAAGTTCAAGGCTTGGAAGGTACTCAACAACAGCATCTTCTGTTTACCTCGTTGAATTTTTGTTTCTTTGATTTAGTTTTCTTGGCAGCTTCACCCCAAATTCCAAATTTTTCATTAATCATTTTCCTCTTTTAGATATAAAATCAGATTGTCGAGATCAAAACAATGGAATGGGTTAGGGTTGTGTAAATTTTAGCTGTTTTTTGAAGACACACCATACCCGAAAATACGCGTAATACTGCCACCACAGTGTTTTTTATGAAGGTGCTGTGGCGGCATGCCGATGCGGGAAATTTGCGGCATTTGTGCCACCTTGATTGGTAGTAACATTGCCGCAACACTGGACCTGTGAATGCATATTACACCTTGGCGCAACAGAGGGAGGTGTCATGATCATGTGAGGAGTACCGAGCTCCGGCCGCCAACTATATTGGAAATTAAAATAAACACGGGCACAAGTTTAGGTTTCGAACAGAATCAGCCGAGATGATAAACTGGAGCAATGCAAAGCTCCAGGAGATTCTCCCCGTTAGCTCCGGGGCTAGATCAGCTGACGGTTCACAGGGACTGTGAGTGACAGACACAACTTAACAAGCATAGCCTCGATCACAATTAAAAGCAACTTTTGTCCAAGTTAAATGGATGTCCACGGCAGCACAGGGAATGTCCCCATACCCCGTAATCTTTTGTAAAAAGAACACGATTGCACCACATTACTGCCACGGTTTGATCACTTATAAACGATGTACGACTCCTCATGCCAGCTAGGCGTTGCGATAAATTAAAGAGGCTTTAGTCAGCATCCTACCCTTTGTAGATAACCATTATCACACTAAGTTTAGACAGTGATTGTTGGTAGACCAGAGAAACTAATATTTAGAATATATTGCCATATTGTGCCTTTGAAGCCTAAGCCTGTAAACAGAATTTGAGGTGTAAAGTCCTGTCATCTCACCTGTATACCATTATGATGGTATTAGGCATCCGATAACTAAGTACGACCAAAAATATCAGAACTAAATGTGTAATTGAATTTACCCGAGGTGTATGTTTATTTTCTAGTTGGAACAAATTTCCATAGTTTACAGAGGGAAGTTGTTTTGTACAGCAGCCAACCACTAGAATGGACTTCATCTCCTTTAGGCTTCAATTTCTTATCTACAGAAAATGACGCCTTTTAGGCTTCTACAACCCCTGTACAACACAACCATTCACACACAGATTTACACGCTGGTGGTGATGAAAAAGAACCAAGTATTGCATGTTTTACGCTCATTTGTTTTCCAAATTTACTAGTAGCTTTAAAAGTAATAGAGGTGTGTGTTAATAACTGTGGCATAATTTATGGCAATAAAATGACTTTTTAAATTCAAATTTCATTTATAATGGTTGATGTTTGTGAGACCTGGATTATTTCAAGATGGCAACAATCAACCCTGGTTTGCTCAGACTAGCCATTAGCCTACTAATCATATCATAGCTAATCTGATTTTCCAAGCTGAGGTTTATAAAGTGATCTAAAATAAGTTAGATATTAACGAGCCATCATCTAGCTATATAATTCAAATGTATTTGTTAGGTAAGGCAGTTTCTCTCTTTGCAGAACTCATATAAACCAAAGATTCTTTCCAGTAAAACAGTTGCCAACCCTGCCCAGCCTGTATAAATAAGTAATCAAGAACTTGTATAGGACAAAGAAACCAATCCCTTTGTCGTTGTCCTTTGAAAATGCTATTTCAGGGTGAGAACAACTGTGTGACTCAAGCTATGGAGGGTCTGAAGGCCACTGACAGCTGACAGATATTCTGGCAAATTATGCATCTCCTGTTTGGATTTAGGCCAGTGACATCTCTGTGATCAGCATGTAGCATGAGGAGAAAACTACAAAACAAACAAGGGCCATGATGTGAAGATAATTTCTCATTCATCACACTGGCAGGAATGCCGCCTCAGCACTTCATGTAGATGGCTTTTTTATTCCTTGCAGTGCCGCTGACACATGTTTTATTTAGCATGGTTTGATTGTGAGATTGATTGGTTAGCTTGTGCTGAATACCCCTAAGTATTTTGTCTACGCTCCTGTTTCACAGATGTACAAATGGATCTTGGAAAGAAGATGAGTGTGCCTAAAGACATCATGCTGGAAGAGCTGTCCTTTGCCTCCAACAGGGGCTCCCGGCTCTTCAAAATGCGCCAAAGACGCTCAGAAAAATACACTTTTGAGAATATTCATAATGAAACCAACACGCAACTTAATGTAAGGGAAAAACATCATTTTTTCAATTGTAAATGAAAGAATTATCAAAGATATGCCACCAAAGACTAACAAGACCTGTCATTCTCTTCTCAGTCTCATGAAACATATGTATAGTTTTAAGTTAAGTGCTTCAAATCCTAAAATATAAAAGAACATTGAACCACTTCTACAGTTTAGTGTGCAAATCCTCCCCAAAGTAATCAGCCTTTTCCCAGACTGTTTAATCAAAACAAAGGCTTGCATGTAAAAGCAGTTTGTCTAACAAGTGCAGTTTAAGCTAGCTAGATTTCACTGGTTTAGGAGCTCAGTTTATGTAATGCAAGCTCGAAGTGAATATTTTTGTGTCATTTTGAAGTCTGTTTCTGTGAAATTGTTGTAAAATATTATTGAATTAGTTGCTGTAGAAAGCTTTTTTGAAGAAGTATGGATAACCCCATAAGGTAGGAGTGTCCAAACTTTTCAAGATTGGGACTAAATTTGTTGAGCTAAAAGGCCTCTGGGCCATAAAATAAGATAATTTTTATTTAAAAATGGAAACTTTTTATTTAGAAAATTGTAATATAAATCTTATTTTGTTCTTGAAATGACAATGATAATAGCATTGCTTGCTGGGCTAATGAAGCGCTAGCATAATTCTGGTGCGCCTGTTTGAGGGCAGTAGTCAGCTGGAGGAGAAAGTAGCTTCAGGTGACAGGAATTGGAGTCTCATTTCTTACAATTGGCCATCTCGTCTCTGACTTGCTAAAACAAAATTACTATACCACTGACCCTGTGTGCTTTCACACATTGATATTTTAGCTCTACAAACAACACAAGCCTGAAGGAGTTCTTCCATATGGTGGGGTTGCTAATGCTAGAGGTTAGCTTCTACTAGTCGAGGCGTTATCTGCTGTTTCCTGGATGCTAAAACAACAGCAGCCTTCCCTGTTACGAGTCAAGATGGGTGAGTCCATGAATGTTATCAGAGGTAGATTGGGCCAATCTGGCATTCTGGTGGGCCGCTTACCCAAGTGAGCCACTTGCCCAGCTTCAGTCAATCAATCAAAGAAACTTTGTTAATCCCAGAGGGAAATTAGATGAGTCAGAAGGCGAAGCTCTCAATTTACCAATCGATCTATGTTCCTACCCTCACCTATGATCATGAGCTTTGGGTAGTAACCGAAAGAACGAGATCGTGGATACAAGCGGCCGAAATGAGTTTTCTCCTCAGAGTGGCTGGGCTCTCCCTTAGAGATAGGGTGAGAATTTCGGTCATCCGGGAGGGGCTCGGAGTAGACCCGCTGCTCCTCCACATCGAGAGGAGCCAGTTGAGGTGGCTCGGGCAGCTGGTCAGGGTGCCTCCTGGACACCTCCCTGGTGAGGTTTTCCAGGCACGTCCAACCGGGAGGAGACCTAAAGGTAGATCCAGGACACATTGGAGAGACTATGTCTCTCACCTGGCCAGGTCTTGGGATTTGCCCGAAGGAGCTGGCCCAAGTGGCTGGGGAGAGGGAAGTCTGGGCCTCTCAACTTAGGCTACTGCCTCTGTGACCTGACTCCAGATGAGCGAATGAAAATGGATGGATGGGGTTATTCATTATTAGAACCACACATTGAGAGTTTTTTTTTCTCCAAGCAGTCGTCTATTTTCCTCACTATACTGTCTCACAGTTTCATGACAGTCTAATTACTTACATGAAGATAAAGTGCTTTATGTGTTTACTTGACGTGAGCTACAGTTGTAGAGGAGCGCATAGTAAAAGCCCTCCAGTAACTCATAAGTAGCTTTATTAATGTCCCTTTGTGAATGTGCAGGCAACGTGCCAAGTCAGCCTTTCCCCCCTTAATCTCAACCTGTTCATATATGAGGCAATTTATATTCCAGTCCTCTGGAAGAAGAACTAGCTGAACTATACTGCTCTTTGTTATATCTGATTGAAAACAGCACTTGTTAAACATTCCTTTCCTTTTTGCCTGTTAGTTCTGAATATTTTACAGTCCGTAGATAAAATAATTGTTCTGCTCCAGCTTAGAAAAGCTTTTTTCCCCTTCAACTTTGAAGTAAGAAACACTCACAAATCTTCGTTTATTTATTGCTCAGGGCGATAGAAGGATTTTGTTTCAAGTTGTCAACATTTCCTGAGGAAGCGCCGAAGTAAATCATCATAAATATCCTTCAGAGGGATGAAAGCAGGGAGCATCAGCTTAAGTACATTTTGTCTGAGCCAAGAAAACAATGTGCACAATGCTGGCAGCGTCTCTGTTTTGTCAGAAAACAAGGAAATTTAAATGATTTTAACACTTTAACGTGAAACATCAGGAAATAGAGGTCAGATGGCAGCAGGTTCATCGAGAAACCATTTTTTGTTGTTATTTTTGAAAAAGATTGGTCACTCTGAGTTTCACATGCAGGCTGAACATGAAAATAGTCTTCTGTCCCTATTTCCTGCATCAGCTTCTGAAAGAAAATAGAAAAACGCTCAGTTCAAAAAATCCTGACAGATCTATGTCACACTGTCACTTAACATTCATGGACTCACCAATCTTGACTCTCAACAGAGACTGTTGTTGGTTTAGCGTCCAGGAAACAGCAGAGAAAGTCTGCTAGTAGAAGCTAACCGTTAGCGTTAGGAACTTCACAATGTGGCAGAGCTCCTCCTGACTTGTTATTTGTGGTGATTAAAACATCAATGTTGCAAAGAGTCACTGGTATATAAGAGGCGAGATGTCCGAATATCAGCATATTTTGAGACTCCATTGCCTGTCGTCTGAAACGACTTTCTTCAGCTTACATCTATGTCCTCAGACACAGGCACACCAGAACTTTTTTTCCCACTGAACAACATAAAATGCATTCTTTCCTTCTAAAGGCCACTGAAAACATTTTTTTTTTCATGCCTCGTAACAACTATCTAACATAGAATAGCTTGGACTATAGTATAACTTGGCTCAGACTGAAACCAACTATTGGACCATCCGGTTGTCGGTCTCGCCGAACTACTGGGTCCTCCATTCATTACACACTCATATATTTAACAACAGAACACCACTGCTGTGAGAGGTTCTCCACTCAATAATGTCAGAGGGAGAAACAGTCGGCTGCTACCACTTCAACTTTAGGACAAACTACCAGAGTCCCAAAAAGAAATACATAATTTGAAGTCACGGCCAAAAGATGTTTGGACAAAGGAAAAGGCAACTGGTGTTTAGCTCGCTCTTTTTTCCTCTGGCAATGTCGGTTTCTGGTTCAGGTAGAAGTGTCTCATGGAAGATATCCGAGGCGAGGGGTAAGTGTTCCGTGACCATGTTTGCGTTCAAAACCTAGCTTGTTCTGTAGAGTCGCTATAACACCTTTAACTTTGGTTCATGCTCTAAAAATAGCTCAAAATGCTGTCTGTGCATCTGCTAATAAATAGATGTTCCATTTTTATAATTAGTCCTCTGCACCTATGAGACTTCCTCCTCAAGTTTCACAGCTGTCATAAAATAAATAATTTTGACTTTTAGATAACTGCTCCCTTATTTGTCAATGCTTTTAAAATTTAAAATAAAATCACATTTCACTCAACAAAACAGGTTTTAACCACCTTTGTTATCATAAAATAAAAACGTTTTTGCAACCTTGTATTTTAAACTATCTTATCTTATCTTTAACTTATCTACCATCTTCAGCCTTTTACTACCTAGCACTGTAAAATTAAGTTCCAATGTCTTACTGAAGTATGCAATGAAATAAACAGGAAAAACTAGAAAACACTGAGAAAATATGTGGATTTTTGAATAAAATGTTAGATATTATTATTACTATATTAATATTATATTATTAGCTAAACTTGTATTTCTTCAACTTAATAAATATTAGGAAAGTACATTTTTGGAAGAGGAAAGTCAAAATGTTAACCAATCTTGACATTAATGTTATTTTGAATTATTTTCCTAGTTTTAATATTAAAATATATGTTTTCATCATATGCTATTATAATTATATACTTTATAATGTTTTTTATGTTGAACAGAATTTTTTTTCATGGCTTTATAGTACTTTAGTCAACACTGATTGTTTTAAAATAGTATTAAAAATAAATGGCATTTCTGTGTGTGGGCTACAGTTTTTAATTACTTTTCAGTGTTTATTCAGCTGCCTAACATTGTAAAAACAGTGGAATTAAAGCTACAGCGGAGGCAACTAAGCCAAAGGTGGAGAAGATAATTCTCTCACTCCTCTCTGTGAAGAAGAAAGAACAAGACACATAATTAACTGCAGGTTCGGTCTGCAGTCACGCATCCCAGAAAGCTGTCAAAACATGTTTAAATGATCTTTAAATCAGATTTTATTCTAGTTAGTTGCTCAAATAAAAAAAAACATCAACTTTATACAATTAGTTTTTTTAAAGAGTCAAGAAACTTAAATGGTCATTATGTAACTTTTGATTTTGCAGCAACCACAAGGTGTATGAATCTGAAATACTCACATAAAAGCCCTCTACAGCCTCTGTATGAGTGAAAACATAAATCTATATAACAAAAAAGAAATAAAAATAAACTAACCAAAAATAAATCACACTAATCTAAAATAGCTCTTTCTGTATTGGTTTGTTCACAGCTTATATGACACGCTACCTTGCACTTTAATTCGTAGGTTGTCTTTTAATTATTTATTTTAATGAGGAGAGTCACCAAAAGATCTGCTGGAACGTAATGTAGTAGTAAATGGTGAATTAATTATTTTGAGTAAAGTAAAAGGAATAAAATTAAATAAAATAATTTTAGCATATTTTTCATTTTATAAAAAAAATGTCTCCCAATACTTTCGAATTGAACTAGCCGTTAGCTTGTCGATCTGGTCAGAGTTATTTTTCTAAATTAGACAAGACCATCTTTGCTCATACATTTTCTGAAGAACCCCATTTGAAATGATTTGAGCTACCCTAATGAGTTTCAGTCAACATGAAATACCGTAGGGTTTTCTCTCGAGCTCAACTGACTTCTTTGATCCTTCTTTCAGAACAGAATGGTTTCCGAGAATGCGAATGCCACAGGCTGCAACAACAGTGACAACAACTTGGGTGTTGACCAGCTACCTAATGTGACATCTAACTCACCAGATACAAAAATGGTGCCAGATCCAGACAGCATCGCCCCGGGTGAGTAACAATGGTACAGTATGCTTTAATGAGTTCCAAAGACCCGTGAAACCATTAAGTGGGGATGCTCGGAAGCCTGTGGTCAGCTCTTTTTCCATTCAAGGACTCATTTTAATTTAATTTATTGCTTAATGTTATGTCACTCTAATAAAATGTAGGTTGTACTTCATACAGAAAAACCAAGGGGCTGTAGTACAAAGTACAGGGTGTACCCTTCCATGTTTTGATAAGGATTCAACGGTTGTACAATTGTACTGACACAGGCTTTGATCACATTGAAAAACCTTTTTTCCTTGCGTGGAATATGCTGGCCTCAGGCTAAACACGGTTCTGTTTTTTTTTTATTTCTCCTCTTGTCCTTCCTGTCTTCATCCCACACTTGTTTTAAGCCTCTACATTTACCATTTTTCCACATTTCTCTCCCCCACCAGCTCCTCCTTGTTCTAATCATGTAGAAAAAGTGTGGAGTTTTAGCCCACAGGATGTGTTTCCTGTTTGCCTCTTGTGCCACTGATACCATCTACTTTGCAATCACATCCTCCCTCATGTCTAGGCTTTAGACGAGTTGACAGAAAACCCAGTACTGGTTTAGGGATAAGTACGGGGGTTATTTCTGGACCAGACACCACTCTGCTGTAGCTGAATGAAGTCACTCCAGCTGTAGTGGAAATTAGGCCAAAGTGCATTTGGTATCAAATGGTAAAAAACCTTAAAATAGCATCTTGGTCCTCACTAGGGTGTGTGTTTCGTGTTCTTGGGCTGCTGGAAGCATTTTACAGCCAGGTTTCGGTGATACACAAAAATTCAACTTATATCATTTTAAACTAGCTTCTCGCAAGACCGTTTGAAGTGCCAGCAAAGTTTTTTTGGAGCAGATTAAAATCAAGCACGTCTTTAGTTTCACGGTTTAGAAATGTTTATCTTTTCCCTAAAACTCGGCCTTTCATCTCCACATGGATCTGGGTGGGCAACATACCTCTCCCACCCCAAACCAAACCAAGATTCCCAACTGCAACAATACAATGTCCAGTGTTATGTTCTAGATTCCCCCCCAAAATCAGTAAACTTCCCCTTGGGCTCTGTTTGGTCCCTCCAGCTTCCTCCTTGGCTGAAAACATAAACTCAGGAAGGGTGGGGTAGGGGTGGGGGTGGGGGGCTGTTCATTGTGAGAGGTAGGGACATGACACCATGACCACGTTATGTAATGCCTGTGCTTGTGAGCAGCCCCCCTCTGAGAGGAGTTTGAGGGATAGTCTTTTGGATTGGCCTCTTGCATCAACCTACATGAACTCTGTTGGGGGGGGGTAGATGGATATAGCTAGGCCTACACATACAAACATAGAAACAAGGGAAGCTGTCCCTTTGTCCAATTTTTTGTACCCATTAAACCTTTTGTAGTAAGCACTATGTACAAGTAATACCATAACTGTTCTATATAAGTCTTTGAAGAGCCTGAGTATGGAAAAACAAAGATTAGTTCCGCCCATATTGATGAGCTAACTGCAAGTCACAACATCTTTTCATCTTTAACGACTCCAATTTAAAAACTGCCAACTCAGTCAATCAACATAATGATTTATAAACCTTTGCAGGGATGTACATTTTGTATCGTTTAAGTTACATATAATGTTAAGGATGATTTCTAATGGTTTAACAATGTCAAAGTTACTTCGATTTAATTTCATTTACATTTTTATTTGATTGGGACAAAACATGTTAATGAACAAAACTAGATATACAGGTTTGTAAACATGCCGGATTATAACCAAATTTCCATCTGTTGTCCCATGGAGACGGAACATACAGGGTTCAAATTTCATAAGGAACATAAATGGTTACAATTTCATAGCAAAAGTAAAATGCACATTTAAGGTTTCTAATTTACATTAAATATTTACACAAAGTCTGTTAAGGCTGTTATAATGAATACCATACCTTACCCCATTTATTTATAGAGCACATTTAAAAACAGCATGTCAGCTGACCAAAGTGCTTGAACACAGAAAGAGGGCAATGCAAGAAGAGACGAAAGAGCAGTAACACCAATGTTAAAATGTCAAAGAATGCATAACAGCCGGATAAAACATAAAATCAAGAATGCAACCCAAATTGCAAAAACATTGAAAAAAATTGGCTGCAATAACAAGATAAAAACAACAGAATACGTGCAAAACAGTGATACAACAGTCAAAGGAAATAAATACTGGCAAAGTGTTGCGCGAATTTTGCGGCATTCGTTCCGCCTCGCTTAGTAGTAATATTGCTGTAATGATCTGTCTTATAAACGACTACTGTACCATGGTGCAACAGAGAGAGGTGTCATGATGATGTGGGGAGTAAATGCTAAGCTCCGGCCGGCAAATTTATTGAAAACGAAAGTAAACACGATCCGTAAGTTTTGCTTTTTGAACAAAATCAGCTGAGGCGGCAAACTGGAGCGCCACAGCACTCCATGAGTGTCTCTCTGTTATAGCTGAAGTTCTGATCATCAGAGACTACACAGGGACTATGGAGGACAGACATATTTAGGAGCAGTTTGTCAAAAAGACGTGACGACCGTGGCTTCAATCGCAATAAAAAGCAAATTATGCCCAAGATAAACTGAAGTCCGCAGCATCACGGAGACTGCCCCCATACCCCCTTTATGCCGCCGTTGCCTAATCTTTTATAAAAAGGACACGATTGCACCACATTACTGCCACGGTCTGATCACTTATAAATGACCTAGGGGTCCCTGGCTCGGCCATGGCGTTGTGGCAAATTGACGCCATTGTTTTGTAAAAACGGCTATTGAGTGATAATTTTAGAGTGAAGAAAAGAGTCTAAAGCCCAGATCACACTGTGCGATAAATATTTTCTTGAGCCAATATGTGCTAAAATGACCCTTTACAGGGTTAAGGAAAGGCCACCTAGCCCCTATTGCCCCCTGAGGCCAGAAAATCACCCTTGCAACTTCACAATCTCCAATCCGGGCTGTTGGACTTGAAAAAATTGAGCAGACCTACCTGATGCTGCTGTCTGGCTTCAGCATATTTCCTGCATGCTTTAGATCATGAACACAGCTGAATTGTTTAATTTAGTGATGGATCACTCCTGTAGACACAGGAATTCTGGTAGACATTTCTGCTGTTAAAAATAGATGAATACGCAGCGAGGAGATGGGTTTTGGTTTCGCTTCTACAAACGGATACTAGAGGGTGCTAAAAGCAAGCCAAAACTGCCCAGTATCCTTTTACAAAAATATAAGCTGGTTTGTACTTTATAATCCACATTTTAAACATAAATTGAATTTTTGACGACGGCCAGCAAAAAGCTCTAGCGTTGTTTAAAGTGGTCAGTAAAGTGGTTATTTTTTTAAAACATATCCTAAAAATGTATGGGGCATCACTTCTGAGCTCTTGTAGGTCACAGAACCTTTAATATCTGACCAGTGAATGATGGATTGTCTTCTTTAATTTGAAGCTAATCTGACTACACAAATAGAAAACATTTGTAGTATTTTAGTAGTCTGAGTTTGTTTGTTTGGTTTTGTTTGTAATCACTTATCCTCTTGGACTGGCCATTGGCTTGTCAACACTGTCAGAGCTAATTTACTTTATTCAAAGGGCTACCTATAACACGTGGAAACAGTTCATAACCTTTCCACAGATTCTACTTCAGAAAAAGGATCTATTGAATGATTAGTTAAAAGACCAGTGATGGGTTGTGCTCATCCTAATTGTATAAACATAGAATACATTCAACATTATTGTAGTAATAAAAAAACACATTCACCTTAAAAAAATCATCAATTGACATAGACTGTTATTTTAGCTGAGAAAATGGTCCGCTTTGCCCACCACTGTACATATTGGTATGAATATTAACACAAAGAAATTGAAAATGCTCTAAAACTGACATAGAGATAAGGTTAAATTTGGGTTGTGCTGTATCATTAATAGGATATGGTGGTCCTTTGAAAGACATCCCTCCTGAGAAGTTCAACAGTACAGCTGTACCAAAGTCATATCACTCACCCTGGGAACAGGCCATCATCAATGACCCAGCGCTGGCTGACACACTTATCCTCCACATGCCTGATCTGGAGCCTCGGACAAACCTATCAGGGTACAAAAGCTTCAACAGGTAGGACCCACACAGGTGTATCAATAACATAGCACTGTTCATAAGAATCCAAGACATTTGAACTGAATTATTAATAATAATGGTTCAAAGTTGGTGATAAAACACAACGGAAATCACATGTTTTTGGTTTCTTCCACTGTGGATGTTGTCACTAACAGGAACCAGAATTACAAGAACAGAAAACTTTAGACCCCCCCCCCCCCCCTTTTTTTTTTAACACGTGTTTGTGTGTGTCTTAAATTTGAGACTTTGCATTTTAGACTTCATACCATCGACATACATACTGTGGACAAATAATGTTTATTGGCTCGCATCATAACGATTTTATGAAAAATGTGAGGTCCCCACCACCACCATTTTGGCTGTGTCACACGTTTTATCACACCCAGACTAGCTAACTTAGCTTACCCAATAAGCTAAGAAGGGGCTCCGGGGACCCCACTTGGCTTCAGTGCGAGGCTGTAGTCATGCTAGTCGCCCTGGCCCCTTATGTGAGGTCATGCCCTGCCTTGGTCAGAGATCAGCGGCAGACTAACTACATGCTAACTCAAGCTAATGGAGGTTTTACAAGCGCTTTTAGCGAGAGAAACGCGGTAAAGCAACTTCAAAATCTCCCTCAGACCAAACCAATAGATCACTGTGATTGACAAGACAAGACTGTTCTGGCCTACTGAGGCTCAAATGGAGTGTGGCTAGACCGAACTGCAAAGCAAAATCATTTTGCTTTTACCACAGTCCATCTAGATGTCAACACTAAGTTTCTGACACTTCTGAACAAAACTGAGAAGAATTTAAGATGGCTTATACACAAATACAACTACTCTGACAATTTCCAAAGGATATTTGATTAGGCAATATTTTAAATGTTTTCAAATTTAGAATACTTGCAAAGGTTGTAGGGCATTGTAGAAACTCTTTGCCACTTGCAATTTGTTGCCAGCAAGTTCTAGCTTAAGCACTCATACAATCTAATGGTTTGATTGGTAGCAAAAAAAAAATGGTCTAAGAATTCAGAAACCAGAATGAACCATTATTTGTTGGGGTTGATCTAATGACCAGATCAGAAATCAGATGAGCCAAAATACTCATCGGTTTGAGATCTAAAAGTGTATTTGATGCAATGAATTCACTATTGTATGCCTCCTTTTTGGGCCACAGGTTTACAGTAAATTAGCTCATGTCAAATTTTGGTCAAATCTTGACAATAACTTTATGCGTGATCTCACAACACCACAAGGTTTTGTACAAACTATTAGCACTCAGACTATGTGTTGTGCAAGACTCTTAACTACTACCCAATTGAGATGACAGGGTTCACTTTAAGAGTTGTAATCGGCATTTTAAGCTAAGATCTTACACAATCAATATGTTGTGAATGACTCTCAACTAGAACATAAGGTTCAGCTCATTATCTGTAAAACTGTCAGAGTTATTATCAATCTTAAGTTGGTTAAGTTCAGTTGACTGTGGTGGATATTTTGAATTGGGTTGATTTTAAATGGTAATTGCTTGTAAATGTTTATACAATAATTACGTTCTGAAAGTTAATTCAAAGTGTTTCATAAGATTATTTGCTAACAGACAAAAATGTGCACTAAGACTCTGGCAAAAACATTATCCCCTGTCTTCCATCATTTGTCAGAAGGAGGTGAATACTTTTTCATCAGTCTCGGACAGAGGTGGGCAATTCTCGTCCTCGAGGGCCGCTGTTTAGCAGGTTTTAGTTGTTTCTCTGCTTAAACACACCTGGTTTGAATCTGCTGGTGATTAACAGGCTGCTGTAGAGCCTGATGAGCTGCTGAACAGGTGATTCATGCAGAAATCAGGTGTGTTGGAGCAGGTGAACAAATAAAATCTGCTGGATAGCAGCCCTCGAGGACCAGGATTGCCCACCCCTGGTCTAGAATCGTTTGTAAGAAGGGCAGGGTGAAGAGGAGCAAAATTAGCTGGTTGCAATATACAGCTTCACCACTAGATGGCTATGCAATGCCACATGGCTTCTTTTTCTTCAACATTTTTTACACAACTAGCATGCTAGCTATCAAAAGCTAAACTCATTAAGATTACATGTGCATAAAGGCTATTAGCTGATATTCTATTGTTTTTTATTGAAGACACCTGCAACTGTAACCTGCATGTCATGTAATTTCATGACTAGAGGAGCTTTCAGTTCTAATTAATCAGGTGGACAAACAAACACAGCCTTTTCTCTAACTGCTAGCATCTCTATCTTTAAGTGATTAAATCGTCCAGAACACCTCCAGGTCAAATCTCGACTTTAATTAGTTGCATCACTTCAAATGTCACTTCACTTTCTCTCATTAGCACATGGCAGCCGTTAACTATGTCACTCTGTCACCTTCAGGGTGGCAACACCTTTTGGTGGTTTCAGCAAAGCACCAAGACCCGCGCCTATCACGCCTCTCCAGGTGGAAACGCTCCCCGAGGTCCCGATCCAGGAGGAGTGTGCTGTAAATCGACCCTCGTTCAACAGAGCGGCCCTGGGGTGGGTTTCATCGTGTGGCCCGGTCACAAATGTTTCCCTCAAGCCCGCACTCGTCCCTGAGTCAGAAGACCTCTGAACCCATGAAGAAGTCACACAGGGATGGTGCTGGGATGAGGTTGTGGGTGACATTTCTTTCAGAGCACAGTGAGTGTTAGGTTCAGTTAGGCATTGCAGGAAAACAAATATAACCCTGTACAGTATAAACAAATATTTCTTCTTGAATATAAAAATAATGTACTCAAGTGTGTTTGACCTTGCAGTAGCAAAGTTTGTGCCTAATAAATTGGTGCAGAACAAAAACAAACTTGTGTTTATTTTTTTCGTTATGTTAAGCCCCATTAAAATGTGAACACGTGCTCATGTGAACAGTTTCATAACCTTGTTTGCAAGACCGAGCTGCCCTGGTGGCTCACTTGAGTGTGTTATCCGTTTGCTTTTCCTTGCAAACTTACTGCACATTATTTTTGTCTTGGAGGTCAAAGATACACGTGAGCCACTGCTGAAGCCTCAAGGTTTAACTGCTTGACAAATCCAATCTGCTTCCCTGACATTCACATCTTGACTGATGTGTCTCACCTTTCAGCTGCGCCCAAGCACAGGGTTCATGAGAGATCAGCTCCATTAGCTGTGCCTTTCTGTTTGCAATTCTACCTTTTTTATAGCAGAACTGAATCATGCAAACAAGCTTGTGTAAAGGTACGAATGTAGCTTAGAAAGGCTTGGATTTAAAAGTTATACTTTTGTTTAATTGTGAGTACACAGTAAACTGGGATTCAGCTATAATAATTAAGTTTGTTTGGTATTCTTTGCAGACACCTTGAATTAGGAATGGGTTCTTTTTCCAAGGCCTTTGTCTCTAACCCAAGGGACTCTGGTTTCACTGCACATGTACCTTTTTGCACACTTATCTAAATCTTATCAGGCATCGCCCAATCTCTGTAATCCTCTTCCCATCCATTTCTCTGTGCTCCCTGCCCATCTGCCCACCATGGGTTCTTGGGCACTCTGCTGCTCACTTCTTGAAATCTCTACTGACATCTGAACGACTTACTCTCTTCCATTCTTTGTCACGACTCAGAACCCATATTTTAAAAAAACTGCTTTCTCTTTATAACTCTGTTAGCCATTCTTTATAGTTCTATTAATTAGATGCTTTGCTCATTGTTATTACCTGATTTGTTGCTGTAATTTAATTTTGTTTTTATTGTAGGGGTGACCTAGAGTGGCATGAAAGACATCCATAAATAAAATGTATTATTATTTTACATCCTGCCTTGTATGAATTTTTCAGGCTGCTTCTGCTGTTGGTGTGAGGGAGATGTTCTTGGTCCACTTTGGTCCCCTTAGTACCACCCGTGCCTGGTTTAAACACCATAGCCTACCTGAGGATTGTTGCTGACCATATTCATTCCTTTATGACCACAGTTGACCCATTTACTCATGGATATGGATATCCAACAGAATAAAGCACCATTTCACAAAGCTTAGATCATCTCTAACTAGTTTCTAGAACACAACAATGAGTTCACTGTACTCCATCAGCCCCCACATTCACCAGATCTCAGCCTTTGAGATGTGATGGAATGGGAGAGTCACATCATGGATGTAGCTGTGTGATGCTGTCATGTCGATATGGACCAGAACCTCTCAGGGATGTTTCTTAAACCATGTTGAATCTATGTTGGATCAAGGCAATTCTGATGGCAAATGCAGGTCCAAGCTACTAGAAAGGTGTACATGATAAAGTAAGCATACCACTTTGGCAAACATAGGCTAATGAGATGCTACAGTATTGTTTGAAGCCTATATACACATTCTGTGGCATTGTTGTCCGGATTTGTGATTTTTTTTATTTCTGCGTCTGTTCAGAACAACGATGGCCAGGGGAAAATCATTTGTTACTGAGTCTTGTAGTTTTAGCGTCCAGTGAGCTGTAACACAATTTGGAAAGGTGGTGTGAACATGGTGGATCCTGAAGGAAGAAGATGTCTTCTGGCATTACTTGTCCATTAACTCACCGTAGAAGAGTCCAGAAGTCTTGGATGGAAGGTATGTTGGCACAAGTCCCTACCCTCTTAAAGGTCCTCTGCAGTCTGTTTCTGCCCATGTTTGGTTGCTGAGACAAGCCTGAAGAGAGAGACTAGCAGGGACAAACTGATTTATAGCCAAGTTAAAGTTTACCAGCGGCTGATTGACCTGCTCAAAGAAAGTCCATCATCTGTAGGACATTCTTGATGACTGCATCAGTTACCCCGAACTTAAATGAGTCCACAATAGTGAGGCTGACTTGGGACAAATCTATGAAGATCATTGCTAAATCTATAGTTTTTAGTCTTAAGCTAAATATTCTTTTGACCACACCAGCAGACCAGCTACCACTCTTCTTGATGCTGACTCGTCACTTCTTGGGTTAGGAGGCTGATCATTGTGTCTTCTGTAAACTTGAGGAGTACGGCAAGCGGATCCCTCAATTGGCAGTTATTGGGTGAATAAATAAAACCTTTCATGACTTAGAGACAAATGTTTTATAATGTTCTTAGCGTTAAAACCTCACTTTTCCCTTTTATATTAACAGTATGGGGAAAAATAAAGGTAAAGGTATAATATCAGAATTTCTTGTTGCTACTTTTCACCCAGTTTGCAAATATTAGTATAATTTAACACAAAAATCCTCTTAGAAAAGAAATACATGGTCCAAAAGTTTTAAAACCCTTTTTATGTTCTTATTCCACACGAATAAACCCTGGCTATCTAAAAGCTTGAGTCAAATCTACTTATTTGACCTAAAGCCAAAGCCTTGATATCTGGTGCATTAATTTGTACAAGTTAAGAGTAGATTTGTTGCTAGTATACTACATAAAAGTGTAATGGTACGCCAAATACATAGATAAAACAGATGAAAATACACAAACAGAAAAGGCCTCGCATTAGGCTAAAGCTTTGAATCACTTTGAGAAGGTATTATTTGCACTCGTTATCTGTATAAAATACACCTGTCCACACATTCAAAGAGTCAGACTCCAACCTCCACTATGGGCAAGACCAAATAGCCATCTAATCTTCCTCGACCTGGGGCTCCATGCAAGATCTTATCAAGGGGTACAAATGGTCTTGAGAGCAGTGAGGAATTAGCCCAAAACTACAATGGGGTAAATGGTCAATGACTTTAAGACAGCTAGGACCACATTAACAAAGGTTTCTATAGTAACAGGCTACAGCCATTTTTACAAAACAATGCCGTCAATTTGCAGCAACGCCATGGCGGCATCAGGGACCCTTAGGTCATTTATAAGTGGTCAGACCGTGGCGGTAATGTGGTGCAATCGTGTCCTTTTTATAAAAGATTAAAAGATGGTGGCATAAAGGGGGTATGGGGGTGGGCGCTGCTGTGGACTTCCGTTTATCTTGGACATAACTTTCTTTTTATTGCAATTAAAGCCGCGATTGTTACGTTTTTTTTTAACACGCCGCTCCTAAAGGAGTCTCCTCCAGAGTCCATGTGGCGCTCCAGTTTGCTGTCTCAGCTGATTTTGTTCAAAAAGTAGAACTTATTGCTTGTGTTTACTTTCATTTTCAATATATTTGCTTGGCATTAACTCCCCACGTCATCATGACACCTCCCTCTGTTGTGCCATGGCGGAATGGCGGTGTAACAAATGCCGCAACATTCGCGCAGCGGCGCATTAATAAGACACACCGCTGCGGTAATATTACGCCAATTTGCCGGCATACTGTGTCTTGTAAAGAGGGCTAGAATAGTCTTGGGCTAAAACTCTACAGTGCTTAAAAGGTGTCCTTGCTTCAGCCACATATCCTGGCCTGTCCAAAGTTTGCCAGAGACCATTTGGATGATCCAGATTAATGTTGTGGTAAGATGGTACCAAAATAGAACACCACCTATTTTTGCACACCCACTATTTAACATTTTCTTTTCAAAATTAAAAACAAGGGAGCTTTTTAGTCAGCTTTTTTTGTTTTGTTTTGTTTTGTTTTATCTCACTTTATCCAGATCCAGTCATCAATACATTTGTGAAATAGAAAGGATCCTCACAGAAAGGAAAATTCAAACGGTATCAAATAGAAGCAGACGTGCCATGGAGAAGATAAAGCCAAGTTAAAAGTGTTCTTTCTTGTATTTTGACATGTTGATGCTCCCGCTACCGAGTGGTAATTTGAAATATTTTTGCCTTTTGTTAAATTAATGCAGATAATTTTTCATGTAGTTGATCAAAATAAATAAATAATATATTTATTTTTCCATTATTATTATTTATTTATTTTTTATTCCCTACATGGGGCCTAAGACACATTGTGATAAAATATTTAAAACAGACTAAATTAAAGTAATTGGATTGGATTAAACGGTGTGTCCACTATTGCGATTAATTTGCCATCGTTTATCCAAAGACTGCAGGCCACATTTAGCTTGTCTCAGAAGTATTCCATTTACAAGTGTCGTCGTCGTCGTCGTCGTCGTCGTCGTCGTCTTCCTCCGCTTATCCGGGTCCGGGTCGCGGGGGCAGCATCCCAACTAGGGAGCTCCAGGCCGTCCTCTCCCCGGCCTTGTCCACCAGGTCCTCCGGCAGGACCCCAAGGCGTTCCCGGACCAGATTGGAGATGTAACCTCTCCAACGTGTCCTGGGTTGACCCGGGGGCCTTCTGCCGGCAGGACATGCCCGAAACACCTCCCCGGGGAGGCGTCCAGGAGGCATCCTGACCAGATGCCCAAACCACCTCAGCTGGCTCCTTTCGATCCGGAGGAGCAGCGGTTCTACTCCGAGTTCCTCCCGAATGTCCGAGCTCCTCACCCTATCTCTAAGGCTGAGCCCGGCCACCCTACGGAGGAAACTCATTTCGGCCGCTTGTATCCGCGATCTCGTTCTTTCGGTCATTACCCAAAGCTCATGACCATAGGTGAGGATTGGGACGTAGATCGACCGGTAAATCGAGAGCCTGGCTTTCTGGCTCAGCTCCCTCTTCCCCACGACAGATCGGCTCAGCGTCCGCATCACTGCAGACGCCGAAGCAATCCGCCTGTTGATCTCCCGATCCCTCCTACCCTCACTCGTGAACAAGACCCAGAGATACTTAAACTCCTCCACTTGAGGTAGGACCTCTCCCCCGACCCGGAGGTGGCAAGCCACCCTTTTCCGGTCGAGAACCATGGTCTCAGATTTGGAGGTGCTGATCCTCATCCCAGCCGCTTCACATTCGGCCGCGAACCTACCCAGCAAGAGCTGAAGGTCAGAGCTGGATAAAGCTAGGAGGACCACATCATCCGCAAAAAGCAGAGACGAGATTCTCCTGCCACCAAACTCGACACACTCCACACCACGGCTGCGTCTAGAAATTCTGTCCATAAAAGTGATGAACAGAACCGGTGACAAAGGGCAGCCCTGGCGGAGTCCAACCCTCACTGGGAACAGGTCCGACTTACTACCGGCTATGCGGACCAAACTCACGCTCCTCTGGTAAAGGGACTGAATGGCCCTTAACAGAAAGCCACCCACCCCATACTCCTGGAGCGTCCCCCACAGGGTGCCCCTGGGGACACGGTCATAAGCCTTCTCCAAATCCACAAAGCACATGTGGATTGGTTGGGCAAACTCCCATGCCCCCTCCATCACCCTTGCAAGGGTATAGAGCTGGTCCACAGTTCCACGGCCAGGACGAAAACCACATTGCTCCTCCTCTATCTGAGATTCAACTATCGATCGGACCCTCCTCTCCAGTACCTTGGAGTAGACCTTTCCAGGGAGGCTGAGGAGTATGATCCCCCTATAGTTGGAACACACCCTCAGGTCACCCTTCTTAAAGATGGGGACCACCACCCCGGTCTGCCACTCCCTAGGAACTGCCCCCGATGACCACGCAATTTTGTAGAGACGTGTCAACCATGACAGCCCTACAACATCCATAGCCTTGAGATACCCAGGACGAACCTCATCCGCCCCCGGGGCTCCGCCGCTGTGTAGTTGTTTGACTACCTCAGCAACTTCTGCCCCCGAGATCGGACAGTCCATCCCCAGGCCTCCCAGCTCTGGTTCCTCCTCGGAATGCGCATTGGTGGGATTGAGGAGCTCCTCAAAGTATTCCTTCCACCGTCCGACTATAGCCTCAGTTGACGTCAGCAGCTCCCCATCCTCACTGTAAACAGTGTGAGCGAGTTGCTGCCTTCCTCTCCTGAGGCGCCAGACAGTTTGCCAGAACCTCTTTGGAGCCGATCGATAGTCTTTCTCCATGGCCTCACCAAACTCCTCCCACG